AGGGAGTCGCGCGGTCGGTCGCTCCCGTCGGAAACGCTCGCGGCGGCGGCGCCGAACGACAGCTCCCGCGCGGCGTCGTCGTCCCCGACCGGCGGCGGCGGCGGCGGCGCGGACGACGACGTGGACGGCGCGACCGCCGCGGGCGGTGGCATCGCGCCGGTCTCGGCGCCGGCGCCTTTCGAAGCGATCGCGGTCTTCTTCTTCTTCGTCTTCGCCGCGGCCGCTCCGGCGGCGTCGTCGCGGAGAAATGTCGCCGTCGTCGTCGCCGTCGTCGTCGTCGCGCGCTTCGACGCCGCCGACGCCTTCCCGCCGCCGCCGTACACCTTCGCGCGCGACACCGGCGTGCAGTTCGGCCCGCTTACGGCCGGGGAGAACCACGCCTCGAACTCCCTCGACGACTTCATCTCCGCGTCCGCGTCCGCGGCGTCGGCGTTCTCCTTCTCGCACGCGGCGCGCGTCGGCGTCGGCGGCGGCCCCGACAGCCGCGGCAACGGCACGGCTTCCCCCCACGCGCGGTTCGACCCCGCCTGCGTCTTCGGCGACGACGCGAACGACCGCATCCTTCCATCCCCGATCGCCCTCGTGAGCTTCCTGTGCTGCGTCTTGTACTCGTGCATGACTTTCTCCCACGTGATGTCGTCGTGGCCGCTCGTCGCGACGGCGAGCAACGCGCTCCCGTCAAACGCCCCCGGCGCGAGCGTCGCGAACGTCTCCATGAGATTGTCATTCTCCGGCTTGGCGCTCTCCAGCAACCGCTGCGAGTTCGCGTCGATCAGCGCGAGCGCGATCTGGAACGAGATGGCGCGCGTGCGCTCGAAGAGTAAGACGTCCCAGACCCGCAGCGCGCACTCCCACGGAAGGTGGTTCACGAACAACGTGAGGAACCACGACCCGGTCACGGCGCCGAGCGGCGTCCCGCACGCGTCGATCGCGTTCGACACCGACGGGAACTTCTGATCGACGAACGTCCGCAGCACGGCTTGGTCGACCGCGGACGCGAGCATCGAGCTCGTGAAGTACCCCGGGAGGATGTCCTCCACGATGGACGCGAGGCACCAGAACGCGGCTAAAGGGTCGAGGGTCCGTACGAGCGAACGTCGGGGTGAAGTTGAAAGGCGTCAGAAGCGGAGTTGAAAGGCGTCGAGGTGTGTCGGGATTGAAAGCGATGTGTGGGCGGAGAGAAACGCCGGGCGAGAAAGTCCTTAAGGATCGGCGTCCACCACGCCAACGCGGTCGTATGGGAACCAGTGTGAGATAAAACGCGCCTTCTTCTTCCATGAGCAGCAACAACAGCGCGGCGAGGAAATTCATGCCCTGGCAGTAGCCCACCGCGGGGTTATGCAACGCGTAGGCGAGGAGGACGCGTCGCAGGGCGTCACGGCCGATGCCGTCGAGGAGCGGGTGCGCGGGGAACGTCCTCGAGAGGTCCTTGTCGACCTGGTCGACGATCGCGGCGAACGTCTCCGGGGACGTCTCGGGCGCGCCGCGCGACGGTTTTCCGCGCGGCAGCGGCGGCGCGTCGGCGGCGCCATCGTCCGCGTCGTCGTCCGGAGCGTCCTCCTCCTCGTCCGAGTCGATCGCCGCCGGTCGGTCAGTCGCGCCGATGCGCGTCGTCGGGTCCCTCGGCGGCGTCGGCGGCGGCGTCTCCGGCCCGTCCTCCGCGTTATCGTCAGCCTCTCTCTCCTTCTCTTTCGCCGCCGCCGGCTGCGTGGGTGAAGCGATCGGTCAGTCGAACGTCTTACCGGTCAAACGTTGAAATGGAAGCGCGGGTGAAGAGTGCCGACGGGAAAAGTCCTTAAGGAACGGCGTGCACCACGCGAACGGGGTCGTATGGGAAGCAGTCTCACCGCCGCCGCCGCCGCCGCGCCCTTCGTCGTCGTCGCCGCGGAGCCGCTCGCGACGCGCGCCTCCTCCTCCTCCTCGACGCGCTTCAACGCATCACACACGAGCGTTTTCACCGCATTCCTGATCTCCACGTCCTCCCTCGCGCTCTCGTTCGCGGCGTCGAGCTCGTCGTCGTCGTCGTCGTCGAGCGCCGTCCCCTCCGAGTCGTCCCCCCTCCCCGCGGCGGACGCGGGCGACGACCCCCGCGGCGGCGTCTCCCCCGCGTCCGCGAGCATCCGCTCGTACAACCCCGCGCGACGGCGATGCTGCACCCCCGCGAAGAGCTGCCACAGGCTCCCGCGCAGCGCCATCGGGACGCCGCCGCGCACGAGCGCCTGGAGTTCGCGCTCGCGCGACGGCGCGTCCGGCTTCGTGCCGCCCGGCGCGCGTCCGTCGAGGATCGCGACGACGGCGGCGAGGGAGTGGCGCCCCCAGACGTCCGTGTCCGCCGCGATGTCGCGCGGTTCTGAACTTCTCCCGTCGTCGCCGTCGTCGCTGGCGCTACTGGCGTCGCTGCTCTCCGCGTCGTCGCCGCTGCGAACGCGCGCGCGGTGCGACGCGCGCTTCTCCGGCGTTCGGATCGAGCCGTCTCGGCCGCGCTCGAGGAACCCGTCCCATCGGTCCGCGCGCTCGGACTCCTCGCTGACGTACAGCGGCGCGTTCGCCGCGTACTTGGACGCGTGCTCGGGTTTCACCTGACGATGGACGCGCGCGGGGGGGGGGGCGAGGGCGCGACGCGCGTGAGCGTGATGACGCGAGGGGGAGGGCGACGCGACGTCGCGCGTCAAATCTCAACGGTTCGAGCCGCGCGCGAACAGAAAGCAACAACGACCGGAACGAATCGAGTCGACGAGATGAGAGACGAGGACGCGAAGCGCGCGACGAGCGCTCGCGCACCACGAAGCCGTACGCGTCCCGCGTCGGCTGCTCGTCCACGGCGACGACGTCCTTCTTCTTGCTCCAGCCCATCGCGACGACGGGGACGACGTCGCGTCCTCGCGTCTCGCGCGCCGGTGCGTCGCCTCCTGTGACCGCCCGCACACGTCGCGTCCGCGTCGCGTCGAATCTCTCAACGGACCGATCGCGATCGATCAAACGCTGACTGGTAAACTGGTGTCGAGGGAGTCAGTAACGAACGTACGTTTTGGTACCATTTCAGTTCGGCAAGTTTGCCCGCGAGTCCCAGCACAAAAAGCACATCACCGTGATCGCCTTCATCAGGGCTCATCGCGGTCGTGATTTCGCGCTGGGACTCGCGGGCATTAGGGAGCTACGCGCGCTTGAAGTTGCGCCTCGGTCAAGCAACCTTTGAAAAATTCGCGATGAATTCTCTGGTTTGATCGATACATCGATCAACGCTGAAAGCAAAAAAGTTGAAATGGTACCACCGCGATTTTCAGACTATTTCTCATACAAAAAGTACTACGCCGTTACCCACTCCCTCTGGTGTCGACTCGACTTCGAAAGCGCGTCGTCGTCAAAAAGCGAGTCGCTTTCCGCCCGAGCGCCCTCTCTCATCGCGCGCGCGGCGCACGCGCGACGCACCGCGCGCCGGTCCGGTCGTTCGCGCGCGCACGCGTCCTTCCCTTCCTCTCCGCGCGGCGGTGCGGTCTTCACCGCGGAGCGAGGACAGCGCGCGCGGGCCGAGGGACCCGAGGGATCGAGGTGGAACCCTCGCCGCGCCTCTTATCCTGTTCGACGTCCGCGTCGACGTCGACGGTCGCGGGCGGCGTTCGAGGGCGGGCGGCGGCGGCGGCGGCGGCGCGCGCGGCGGCGGTCATGGCGTGCCGCGGGACGCGGTCGCGCGTCGACGGCGAGGAGATGTGCACGGTGTGCCTGGAACCGCTCCCGCTCCCCGGTCCCGGCGCGGACGTCGTGTTGGTGCTGCACGCGTGCGGGCACTGCTTCCACAGGGACTGCGCGCAGCGCATGCTCCTCGCGTCGCTGCGAAAGCATCAGAAGCCGCGGTGCCCCAACTGCAGGGCGACGCTCGCGACCGCGCCGTTCGGGACGCTGCTGGGACAGCGGAAGCAGCCGCGGGAGAAGCGAATGCGGAACATGCGCGAGCTGTTGAGCGTCAGCGAGGTGCGTCGCGCGCGCGGAGGCGCACGAGGGGAGGGGGGGGTGGCGGCCGCACCCCTCCGATATTTCCGTCGACGTCGACGCTGTTGAAACCGTCTTTTTTAACCGTCATCAGTCGGTCGCTTTTTATCCGAAATCGCTGACCCCCCTCCTCCTCCGCCTCCTTCGAACGCAGGACTACATGAAGAGCAAGAACTGGAGGGTGCCGCGGAGGAACCCGCACGGGTCCACGGAAGCGCAGCGAAGCCTCGCGAAGCTGATCATCCAGACGCGCAGCGCGTTCAAAGACGAGTTCGGGTGCGAGCCTTGAAGCGACTGATGACGCGACGACTTTCGCGCGAGCGAAGGAAGCCGTCTCCCCGCGCCGTCCTTCTTCGAGAAGAGGGCGGCGGTGGGGCGCGCCGGCGATCGACTCGATCGGCTAGAGGCTGGCCTCGTCGATTCTTTTCTTTTCCTCCCGCGGGGGGGAACGTATCACCCCCCACCCGCGCGGATGCCCGTACGCGTAGCCTTATTGGCGACTGTGAAACACAGACAGCGGTGTGAACCGAAAAACATCGACGACTGCGCGTGCGTGGCGGACCGATCGGTCCGATCAACTCTCGTATGAAATCGCGTTTCATGCGAAGCGTCGCATTTCTCGACCCATACCACCGATGAAGCTTAATCGGGTGACGTGTCATTTTCCCTGGCCAGTGGCTCCGAACCGTCGGTCGCGCGAGCGCCGCTACGTAGAGATAAGAGCGCGACGCGCTCGCGCCATCGCACTCGCTCGCGCACGTCCGACGCGCTCGACATCCCGAGCGTGATTCACGGTCGCGCACGAACGCAATGATGCACGCGAGCAGCAGCGTCGCGATCGACGCGCGCGCGCGCGTCGCCGCCCTCGCGGCGTCCGCGTCGTCGCCGCGGAGCCGCCCGCGCGTCGTCGCCGCGGGAGGAAGAAAGATCGCCTCCGCCTCCGCCTCCTCCTCCTCCTCCTCCGCTTCGTCGTCGTCGTCCGCGCGCCTCGCGAAGGCGGCGTATACGGCGGCGGCGGACTCGCGCGGCGCCCGCCGCCGCGCGAGCCTCCTCGTCGCGAAGGCGGCGTCCGAGGACGACGACGCCTCCTCCGCCTCCTCGGGCGGCGGCGCGTCCGCGGATCAGATCGACGACGACGAGAGGGAGACCGTCGGCGGGACCATCCGTCGCAAGAAAGCGCTCGCCGCCGCGCAGAAGAAGAAAGAGAAGGGATCCGACTTCAGCGTGAACGACGTGAACCCACTAGACCTGGGCCGCAGAGCGCGCCAGGCTGCGGACGGCTTCTTCAAGTCCTTCACCGGCCTCGCGCAGCTCGCGCGCTCGCCGTCGTTGGACGAGACGAAATACGACGCCGTCTACGACGCCGATCTTCTCTCCGGCGCCTCCCTCGGGGAGTACGAGACCCCCAACGCGCGGTTCACGACCGTCCTCGTCGTCGGCGCCGCCGGACGCGTCGGCCGCGTCCTCGTGCGGAAGCTCCTCCTCCGCGGGTACACCGTCAAGGCGCTCGTGCGGAAGGAGGCGGATAAGGAGCAGTTGCCCGCCGTCGTGGAGTGCTTCGTCGGGGACGTCTCCGACGCGGGGGTGGTGAACGAGGCCATCGGGGGCGTGAACAAGGTGGTGTACTGCGCGCGCGCGAAGACGTTCATCTCTGGGGAGCTGAACAACGTCGACGGCGAGGGCGTCAGGGTGGCGGTGAAGGCGCTGCAGGATTACAACAACACGCTCGCGACGAGGCGCGCGGGGACGAGCAACAAGACGAAGCTGATGCTCACCAACTTCGTCAAGTTCAAGTCCGTGTACGACGACTGGACGATCGACGAGACGCGATTGGTGGACCCCGCGGACGGGAAGTGGCAGGCTGCCGCGGAGGTAGCGCAGAGAGTGGACTTTGGCCCGATGGAGGAGGAGGACGGCTCCGAGAGCAAGTTTCCACTCTTCTCCGGGTACGTCTTCTCGAGAACGGGCATCGCGCAGATCTCCTCGGCGCTCGACGACCTCGGGAGCCTGGACATGCGAGGCGACGTCTCGCTCGTGCGTCACGAGGGCGTGCTTCTGCGTCTGAAAGGCGACGGGAAGCGGTACTCCGTGTCCCTGCGCGAGCCCGGCGTCGACGGCAGAACGTTCATCGCTCCGTTCGCCACCACGGGGCGGTGGCAGATCGTCCGCGTGCCGTTCTCGCAGTTCCGACCGGAGGTGTACAACCGCGTCTTCAACGCGGGCGACGGCGAGGCGGACATGGGCCCGCCGATGCGGCTGGACAACATCGAGCGGATCGGGATCCGGTTCGAGGCGCGGAACCAGACCGCGAAGGCGGCGGCGGCGGTCGCCGGGCAGCCCGCGTGGATGTCCGAGCTCGACAGCCCCGGGAATAACTCGTTCAACCTCCAGCTGGAGTACGCGAAGCTCTTGCCCATGGGCGACGAGACGGACTTCGTGCTCGTGTCCTGCGGCGGCGCCGGGATGGAGGAGGGCGAGGACAAGGACCGCGTCGTCAAGGCGAAGCGCGAGGGCGAGCGGCTGCTTCGCAACAGCGGGCTCGGGTACACCATCGTTCGCCCGGGGACGCTGCTCGAGGAGCCGGGGGGGAACAAGGCGCTGGTGTTCGACCAGGGCGATCGCATCACGCAGTCGATATCGTGCGCGGACGTCGCGGACGTGTGCGTCAAGGCGCTTCACGCGGAGGAGGCGAGGAATAAGTCGTTCGACGTGTGTTACGAGTACGGCGCCGCGGAGGGGGCGGAGTCCCAGTACGAACGCGTGGCCAACGTGCCGAACAGGAGCAACAACTACCTCACTCCCGCGCTGTCTGTTTTGGAGAAGAACACGTGAGCGATGAGCGCGTGTCTGTCGCGAGAGGAATATCATGCGGGGGAAGTGCGGGGGTAGACGGATTTCATAATACGACGATATCATTACGACGATATCATCACGACGACGATGACGGCGCACAGCTGTGATTTTATTCGCGAGATCTGAACGACTTTTAGGGTTCGCTTCTTCAGACGAGCGGGCCTCTCGACGCCGTCACCCCCGCCCGCGCGCGCGCACGTCGCGGTCCCGTCATGCCGACGCCGAAACGTCTTCGCTCGCCGCCGCCGGATCCCGCGCCCGACGGAGGCGTCGGCCTCTTCGCCGTCATCGCGACCGCTCGCGAGGCGTGGAGCGCGCTCGAGGAAAAGCTCGAAGACGCTCGCGAGGACGCGCGAGCCGCGGAGGAGGCGCTCGACGCGACGAAGGCGGCGCTCGCGAGGAAGACGGAGGAATACGACGCGCTCTACGCCGCGCGCGTGCCGCCGTTCAACCCGAACGAGCAGCTCGCGAGCGTGCTCTTGTCGAACGTCCACGACCTGAAGACGCGCCTGGCGCTGTCGCAGGTGAACAAAACCTTCCTCGCGGCTTCGAAGCAAGACGCGAGCTTGCCAGGCCCTGAGGTGTTGTGCGAGTTCGCTGAAGTTTGCTTCCATACTCGGGAGCGCGACAAGGAGAAATACTTCTATCTTAAGGCGGCTGCTCAAGGGCACGCGGAGGCGCAAGAGACGGTAGGAGTCATGTGTTTCAATGACGACGAGTACGCCACGGCTGTTTTCTGGTTTCAGATGGCGGCTTCTCAGGGAAACGGCTACGCCTTGAATATGCTTGGATACTGCTACAGAGACGGCCTGGGCGTGGAGAAAGATCCTTCGAAGGCAGTTGCGTTGTGGGAGAAAGGTGTCACTACTCACGGAAGCGTTGATTGCATGACCAGGTTAGGGTTCTGCTACCAGCACGGCTGGGGCGTGGAGCAGGACGAGGCGAAGGCCTTGATGTGGTACCGCAAGGCGAATGCTGGAGGTTGTTCCGACGCGGCCCAAGTTCTACGAGATCATTTCGACTATTAACTGCCACATCACGACGTGCATCATCCAACGTTACTCTCATTTGAAATACGAACGTTACTCACTTCGTCGACAGCGACTTCATAATCTTTTCAAACTCGTCGTTTCCCATTTGCGCACGCGTCGGCGTCGGCGTCGTCTCCGCCCGCGGCCGCGCGAACGGGTTCATCTCCGCCGGGTACCTTCCCGACGACGCGGTGGAACCAGGCTCACCTCCCCCGCCGCCGCCCGCGCTGTCCGGGGGATCGAACCGCTCCCACGTCGCCTCCCCGTCCGTCCGCCGCGGGTCCGCGGAAATCTCCGTGGGTCCAATCCCGAACGTCGCGGTCGGGAACGGCACCGACGCGTCCAACGACATCGACCCCAACCCGGACGTCGTCTGAAGCTCCAACGTCGCGGGATCGTCGCCAGAGAGGTCGATGAAGTCCGGCAGCGACGGCTGCGGCGACGGCGGCGAGGATTCTTTCGGCGACGACGCGTCGTCGCTCCCGACGACCTCCGCCGCCGGCGGCGTCGGCGTCGTCGTCGTCGTCGTCGTCGTCGGCGTCGTCTTCGCGTCCATCTCCACGCGCGTCGGGTCGCTCCGCGCGGCGAACCGCCGCTTCGCCTCCTCCTCGTGCTGCTCGTCCAGAAGCGCGAACACGACGGGGACCAGCTTCGCGCCCGAGCACTTCGTCAGCTCCCCCGCGACGGCGCGCCAGCTGGACACGTCCACGGCGCCGTGCACCGAGCTCGGCGCGCGTCGCAGCCACGCGGACGGGACCCCCTTGTCGGCCTTCTTCTTGTCCGTCGTCGCGCTCGGTGGAGTAACGGGCGAGGACGCCAGCGCGGGCGTCGTCGTCGTCGAGCCGTCGCCTCCGACGCCGCCGCCGCCGCCGCCGCCGAAGACGAGCCCTCTCGAGCCGAGCGACGCGCCCTTCGGCGTCGCCCGCGCCTGGCGCGCGGCGTCCACCTCTTCTTCCTTCGCGAAGCGGTACGTCAGGCGCAGCGCCCTCGCGCGCAGCGCGGGCGCGCTCCCCCACGTCTCCCCCGCGACACACAGGAACAGGCGCAGGCGCAGCGCGCGCTCGACCCTCTCGTGCGGGTTGTTCGCGCCGCGCGAGGACGGCGGCCCCGCGAGGCGGACGCAGAGGTCGTGCGCGCCCGCGAAGAGCGCGAAGAGCGCTTCGACGGCGGTCGCGTCGTCCTTCACGCGGAGGATCTCGTCGCGGAGCGCGCGGAGGGCGTCCTTGAGGACCTTGGAGTCCTTCGACGCCGTGCGCAGGAGCGTCGTGAACTTCTCGATCGCGAGGCGCGCGTTCTCGGCGTCGTCGCGCGGCGCGAAGCCTCCCTGAGCGCGGGCGGCGGCGGGAGCGGCGAGGAGGAAAAAAGGTTGGTGAGCGAGGTGGGGCGCGCGAGGAGGCGCGAGAGGGAGGGCGGCCGGGCGGGCGCGAGCGCGGCGCGGACCTGCAGGTATTTCGCGAAGAACCGCGCGGAGTACTCGTCCACGGACATCGTCTTCGTCCCCATGGCGCCTCCACGGCGGCGACGCGGCGCGGCGGGCGAAGAGTGCGGGCGTCGTTGTTCGACGCGACGAGGAGAGGCGACTGAAGAAAATAATTTTGCCTCGAATAAATCTTCTTCGCTCATCACAACTCCGTGTGCCGGTTCATTATCTTCGCGCGGACGTTCGCGCCCGCGTCGTCCTCCGCGTCGTCCCCCATGAAAACCCTCGCGCCGTCCATCGGCGAGACGTACCTCGGCGCCGTCCTCCACACCCCGGGCTCGCGCGCGACGTTCGAATCTTCGTCGCCGCCGCCGCCGCCCTCGCCGCCCTCGCCGCCGCATCGGAAAAAAAATAAATTCGCCACCGCCTCCGCGGCTTCGTCCTCGTCCTCTCTCGCGTACGCTATCCGATTGTTCTTGATGACCTTCTTCTTGCCGTTTAAGATGCACTTCAGCGTGAACCCCACCAGCTTCTCCCTCGCGGCGGCCGCGCACGCGTTCCCGCGCCCGTCGTCGGACGCGCCGTACCCGAACACGGCTTCGCACGCGTCGCGCGTTTTCACGTCGTCGTCGTCTTCGTCGTCGTCGTCGTCGTCGGGGCGCCACGTCGTCTCCGCGACGCCCGGGCACGATTCCAACACGTCGCTCACCGCGTCATCGAGCGCGTCGCAGTCCATCACCCCCATCTCCTCCGCCGCGCACTGCACCTCCATCGGTCGGCCGTCCAACCCGATCGCCCGGCGAGTGTACGCGCATCGCTCGGTGCGAAGCGGGCACTCGTCCGCGCACAGTCTGTCCTCCTCGCCGTCGGCGTCCTCGTCGCCGTGGCACGCGTCGTGCTTGACGCACTGCTCGATGAATCGCTCGCCGGGAGGGAAGCGCGCGTCGAGCTCGAGTTGCGTCATCTCGCCGCGTTTGACGGCGCACTCGAGGAGGTCGACCTCCGCGATGCCGAGGTGCGCCGCCGTCGCCGCGCACTTGGGTTCGGTGGACAGCTTGCACTGATCGGCGGGGACCCAACGCGTCGGTCAGCGAAACTCTCATCGGTCGAGCGTTGAAAGGGAGCTACGGGGTGAAGCGAAACGAAATAACGAAATACGGGAGGCGGTCAGAAGCGCATCGGCGCGGCGCGCACCTTCGGGTCGCACAGATCCTCCTGGCAGATCCCTTCCTCCTCCTCGAAGTCCTCGCACGCCATCCGATCGCACAGATCCTCCGGAACGAGACGCTCGTGCACCCCCAACGCCTGGCAGTGCTTGCTGTGCGTCAGCTCCACGCACTCGGCGCTGCAGAGCTTCGTCTTATCGTGCGCGCCGCTTTCGAAGGTGGCGGGGTCGAAGCGGAGGATGTCACCGTCGACGCCGCAGATAGTTTTGAGTCCTCGCTGACACAGCTTCGGTCGCGGCGTGTCCGGCTTCAGCTCCCTCGTCTTCGGATCGATCTCGCCGCAGAGCAGATGCCGCTTCAACTTCTTATCCGTGATTCCCGCGCGCTTGCAGTGGTCGCCGTGGACGATGTTCGTGCACGCGCGGGTGCACGCCTTCTTTATGACGACCTCGGGATCGGCGTCTTCCCCGATGCCGCACGCGCGCGCCAGCTGTTCTCTGCAGTTCTCCCCGTCCGCGCGCTTCTTCTCCGCCTCGGTCATCTTGTCCCTGGAGTCCTTCTCCGCCGCGTCCGCCTTCTCCTTCTCCGCCATGCGTCTCTCGGCGTCGGCTTTCGCGGCTTCGACCTCGTCGCACCGGTCTAATATGCGATCCGTCATCGATTCCGACCACCCCGCGGCGACGCACCGATCGTCGTGCATCGCGCGACTGCACGCCTCGCCGCACATGCGCTCGAGCATCTTCATCCCGTGCTTTGAGCCTCCGACGGCGTCGTTGAACTTGGACAGGACCTCGCCGTCGAGGCCGAAGCTGGGGAGGGAGGGAGTCGATCGAGGAGGAGGGAAGCGTGAGGACGGGGCCGGATCGGGATTGGATCGATCGATCGACGAGAGAGAAACTTCGCGCGAACGCGCGAACCGCGACGCGATCGATCGCGCGGAGGAGGACGACGCGCGCGGGGCGACGCACCCGCACGCGGCGCGCAGCGCGACGTCGCATCCGGCGTAGTCCGCGCGGACGTCGTGAGCGAGGCACGCGAGAGAGAGAATCGCCGCGACGGCGACCACGCGTCGCGCCATGGCGTCTCGCGCGCGACGATCTCACTCATCAGAGGCCGCTCGCGTCGGCCGACGACAGGAAGCAGCGAGGCGAGGCGAGGGCCGGTCGGAAAAACCGAGCGCGGCCCCCTCCCCCACCCTTCACACTGCTCGACCGCGTCGCCGCACGCACGCCGTCGAACCCTCCTCCGTCTCATCATGGCGCGCTTCCACCGAGCGACGTCCCTCCTCGGGCTCTTCCTCCTCGCGCTGTTCGTGCAGACCCCGTCCAGCGCGGACGCGGCGCGCACGCTCAAAGGGAGCGTCGGCAAGAGGGACAAGGGCGCGATCGAGATCAACCAGGCGCGTCGCCGTTCCGATCCGACCGCCCCGCGCGCGTCTCCTCCCTCCCTCCCTCCCTCCCTCGCGTGACCCTCCCCGTGCGTCGTTCCTTCCCTCGGGCGGCTCGTTCGCGTCGCGTCCTCGAGACGAACGACGCCCTCGCGCGTCGCGTCGCGCCCCCGCTCCCGCGCGCGCGCTGACGCCTCCGTCCGTTGAATCGCACGCAATCGCGTCTCCGTCGCAGGCGAACCTAGGCCAGGACGGGTACAGCTGGAACGCGGTCACGAACACTTGGAGCGCGTCGAAATCGAAGGCGTCCTCGCACGCCGCGCCGAGGATCGCCGCGCATCACGACTACCTCCATCGCACCGTGCACGGATACGTCGACGGGTTCGCGCCGAAGGCGCGTCACTGGTTCCCACACGACCCCATCGGCGCGGTGAACGCCGATCCTCGAGGACTTCGCCGATCCTCGCGTCTCTCTCCGCGCGCCTCTCGGTTTCGATCCCGAAAGACGCGCCTCGACGCCTCACGACTCCTCCCATATCTGACGCCTTTGAACTCCACCCCGACGTCGCTTCGTATGGGCAAACACCCTCAGGAGTACTCCCCCTTCGTCGCGGCGGTGCTCACGTACACGCTCATCTTCCTCCCTTTTTGTCTCGCGGCGGCGTTGTATCGCGAACTGCGGGCGATGCTGAGCGTGCAGAAGCTTCTGTTCGTCGCGAACGTGTACAACGCCATATACTGCGCGTGCCTCGTGATCCTGAACGTCGTCACCGGGAACGAGCCGATGTCGTCGTTGCAGGCGTCCAACGAGGCGGATTACATCATCCTTCAGTTTCTCAAAGTCGTCGCGTTCGGCGCGTTTATCCTCCTCCAAGTCGTGCACGTCTGGATCCTACGGAACACGAACGCGGAGAACATGAAAGTCGGCGCCATCTCAAACTTGCTCCTGTCCCTGTGCGTTGGGTTACACTACTTCCTCCGCGTGTGGCTGCCCGCGATGCACGGGATGCCGCCGCGGAACTCGAGCCTGTCGTACCTGCTGTACACGGTGATTTTCAGCGCGATGGCGTTGACGTTTTACGTCAAGCCCGAGAAGGGCGAGAGAGCGCAGGCGGCCGCCGCGACCGCCGTCGTCATCGGCGACGAGGAGGACAAGCAGATTTAACTACGTTTAATAACTCGATCGCGAGCGTAATCATCGACCGACGCCGAGTCTTCTCCGCTACTACGTGCTTTAATACTTTACAAGCGCGTCCTCGCGGCGCGCCGCGCGACGCTGCCGAACGCGTCTCATCAACTCTCTCCCCCGCGTCACCGCCCGTCGACGCCGCCGCTCATGTAAAACGCCAAACTCTGCGCCGCGAGCGTCTTCCTCGCGGCGTTCACCCCCGTGATGCACTCTAAGAATATCAACACGCACGCGAAGTTGTTCAACGACTTATCGAACGGCGACGCGTCGTCTTGCCCCCACCAAAAGTACGCGTGCAGCGGCAGCACGACGAAGAAGGACAGAAGCACGAACCCCGCCATGAGCGGAATCTTCTCCTGCAAGTTCCCCGCGTAGCCGCAGTACAGACGGCACGGCTCGAAGATCATGAACATCGCGATCATCACCGGCCGCACGTCGTCGTCGTCCGTCGCGCTCCCCTTGGTCTTGAACAGCGTGCTCGTCACTGTCGCGATCCACCACGCGAGCGCGAAGTACGCGTTGTAGTGGATCAGCATCTGGGTGTACACGTCGGAGGCGACCGCGCGGTGCGCCATCCGGACGGGCGCGTGCGGGGACGCCGCGCCCGCGGCGACGTCGTTGAACGCGACGTCGCGGTCGCGGGATCGCGCGCCGGCGTCGTAGTGGAACGTCGGGCGCTGGCTCATCGTCGTTTCAGATTTTCTCTCTCTTCTCTCGTTCGTGTTCGTGTTCGTATTCGCGTGTCCGCGCGTCGACTCTCGACGGGCGCGGGCGTTCGGTCGACGCGCGCGATGCGCGCGCGCGGTCGCGTGTGCGCGAGCGGGCGGAGGCGACGGCGGCCGTGCGGTCGCGGTTCTCTGCGCGGACGCGTGTGGCGGACGCGCTCGAGGAGGATGGTTGGTGACTCTGCTTTTTCGCGTCAACGGAAAAAAAACCCGCTCGCGCGCGCGCCGGCGTTCGCGTTCGCCGACCGCGAGGCGAACGCTCTCGCTCTCGCCGCGCCCCGGGCGCGCGTCATCACTTCGCGTCGCGCCCCTCGGAGCGATGCCGCCGAAACCGCCACCTTCGGCCGCGGCGCCGCGGCCGAAGTCCACGATCGGGGAGCTGAACGACACGGAGGTGCGCGCCGCCGCGCCCCGCGCGCGCGCCGCCCGCCGCGATCACATCTCGCGTCCATCGGAACCCTCGTGCTACGGCGGTCCGATCATCCACCCATCCATCCAACCCACCCACCCCTCCCTCCTCCTCCTCCTCCTCTTCTCGCAGGAGTACCTCGTGAGCAAAGGGTTCGAATCAAACGACCTCGCGTCGTGCAAAAAGTACCTCGCGATGGTCTCCGAGCACGCCGCGCGTCGCCCCGGGCCGACGCGATCCGCGGCGTCGCGACTGCTCGCGGATCCGAAGCGCGCGCGACTGTCGAAGCTCGACGAATACGAGCACCTGGAGCAGCTCGCGCTCGCGTCGCTGGATCTCGGCGCGCTCGAGGACGCGGAGAGCGCGTGCGCGAAACTGTACGACGCGTTTCCGGGCAGCGCGCGCGTGGGGAGGCTCGCGGGGATGATCATGGAAGCGAGCGGACGGCACGACGAGGCGCTGAAGCATTACGAGAACGTTTTGGAGAAGCACCCGGCGGATCAGAGGGTCATGAAACGAAAAGCCGCGTGCCGTTACGCGTCCGGAGACCTCCCCGGCGCGATCGAGGAGCTCGTGAAGTACCTCGACGTGTTCATGGCGGACGTCGACGCGTGGGACTGGCTCGCGGATCTATACGTCGCGGCGCGGCGGTACGACCGAGCGATCTTCTGTCTCGAAGAAGTCGTCGTCGCGCGACCGAGCGCGCATCGGTTCCATCGTAAGATCGCGGACGCGTACTACGCCGTGGGGGGGGATAAGTCCATAACGAGCGCGGAGAGAGAGGACGCGCTGAACAACGCGCGGAAGTATTACGCCGCGGCGGTGGACCAGTCGATCGGGCGGGACGTCCGAGCGCTGTACGGGTTGACGCAGGTGGACGCGCGCTTGAAGTCGGCGGCTGGGAAAAAAGGCGGCGGCGGCGGCGGCGGCGGCGGCGGCGGCGGAGGTGAGACTGCTTCCCATACGACCCCGTTCGCGTGGTGCACGCCGTTCCTTAAGGACTTTTCCCGTCGTCACTCTTCACCCGCGTTTCCCTTTCAACGCTTGACCGGTAAGACGTTCGACTGACCGATCGCTTCACCCACGCAGCCGGCGGGGAAGATTTCGAGCTCGGCGGCGCGCGTCTGAGCGAGCGCGCGGCGGGGTACCTGTGCGCGATGTACGAGCAGAAGAACCCGGGGTTAGCGCCGATCGTGGCGAAGCAGCTCGGGCGGTCGGTCGGTCGGTAGGAGGAGAAGACGGAGCGAACGACGACGGACGGACTCCGAGCTTTGCTTTGCTTTGCGGCGCGGTCGTCTTCGTTCCAATTTTTTTTTCTACATCTACTCCTCTCGCCACCCGCGCCGCTCGCGCTATCGCCCGCATATCGGCTCCGCTACCTCGCTACTACCCTATTTAACACGTTCCAACGCGGTATTCAGCGCGTCAGGTATTCAGCGCGACGCTGTTAAACCAGATGGACTTGAACTCTTCAAAGTTGAGCTCCCCGTCTTCATCCTTGTCCGCGTCCCTGATCATCGTCTCCACCTCCTCCCTCGTGAGCCTCTCGCCGAGCATCGTCATGATCGTCATGAGCTCGTCCACGCTGACGCTCCCGTCGCCGTCGCGGTCGAACACCTTGAACGCCTCCACGAGCTCGTCCTCGCTGCCGTTGTCCTTCATGCGGTTCGACATGAGGAGGAGGAACTCGGGAAAGTCGAGCTCGCCGTCGCCGCTCTCGTCCACCTCGTTTATCATGTCCTGGAGCTCGCTCTCCGTCGGATTCTGCCCCAGCGACCGCATGACGACGCCGAGCTCCTTGATCGTGATCGTCCCGTCGCCGTCCTTGTCGAAGATCGCGAACGCTTCTTTGAACTCCGCGCACTGCTCCTCGGACAGCCCCGCGCCGGCGACCTTCTCGGTGAGCACCATGTCGTTGTTATTATCCGCGTCGCCGGGAGAAATTCGAATCGTTCGTCGCGCCGCGCGGACGACCGAGACGCGCGCCTCCCGAGGCGTCCGCGGATGCCGCGCGCGGGTCGAGAGCGCCGCGCGTCGACCGCGGCGTCGCACCCGCGCGCGGAAGAACGAACGCGCGGCGGCGTTGAGCGACCGCGCCCTCGAAGAGACGCCCGCGCGAAAAGATGTAGACACTCGCGGCGCCGCGGACATTTTTTCCAGACTAAAAAGTCCGTGCCCGAATCTGATACCCGCTACGTCACATTTGGCCGGAAGGGCTGCGTATGATATCATAGTCAGAGGGAATAACCTATCGATACACTACTATGCATTTACAGTCACGCGGAACGGCGAAATCTCTCGACTCGCTTGTGAGGCTCCCGCCCATGTTTGGCGTCTTCGCCGCTCGCCTCGCGCGTCTCGCGCACTCGGGGTCGCCCGTCGCACGATGCTGCCTCACGCCGCCTCGCGCGCGTTCGCGCGCGCGACGTCCTCGAACGTCGCGGCCGCGAGGCCGGTCTCCACGCTCACGCAGATCCTCGACGGGAGCATCTGGCGCGTCTCGCTTCCCCGCCCGCGTCGACGCGCCGCGCGGCCACCGGCAACCCTAAAAGACCAACCGATCGAACGTTGAGATCGACCGTTCGATCGATCGGTCGGTCGCCTCGTCGCGCCTCGCGCCCTCCTCCCACCGTCTGACCTCCCCCGCCCTTCCCCCAACGCGCCTTTTCCCGGCAGGCAACTCAAATCGCGCAAGGGCAAGCTCGTCGGCGAGGACGAGCTCGGGAACAAGTACTACGAGAACATGAACTACCAGAGCGGACGGCATCGTTGGGTCGAGTACGAAAACATCGAAAACTACGACTACAGCGCGAGCTCCATCCCGCGCGAGTGGCACGGGTGGCTGCATCACGTGGACGACGAGCCCGGTCTGAGCGCGCGCACCGCGCCCGCGTACGAGGTCAAGTTCATCCCGGGCGGGGACACCACGGGGGTACCGGACAAGATGTACGTCCCGAAAGGTCACTTCCTGAACAAGCGCGGGATTAAGAATTGGAAGCGGTACACGCCGTGGTCGCCGCCGTGACACGACGCGACCGACGACGAACGTCGTGGGACCGGAGCCCCGTGGTCCGTTGTAATACGAGTATACGATAACCTTATGAATAAATGAGACGATAACGAACGAACGTCGCGCCGCGCGAGCTCGAGCCAGCCGGACGCGTGCCGCCGCCGCCGCCTCCCTGAAAAGTCCTTAAGGAACGGCGTTCACATCGCGAACGGGGTCGTATGGGAAGCAGTCTCACCGCCGCCGCCGCCGCCTCCCTCCTCCTCCCTCTCCTCCTCCTCCTCCTCCTCCTCCTCCACCTCCTCCACCTCCTCCTCCTCCTTTCTTAAAACCCCGAGAAGAACTCGTCCCCGCGCCTGGACACCCCGCCGTTCCTCCCGCCCTTCCCTCGCAGGAACTCCTCCCCCGGGTGCTCCACGTCCAGGTCGTACGGATCGAAGCACCCGGGGTCGTCGTCGCCGGAGATCTGAGGGTCGTTCGTGTATGTTCATCGGTCAGTTGAAAGGAGACGCGATCGAGTGTCGAAACCGGGCGATGGGTGAAACACACGTTTGCAGAGAACGCACCGGAGGCACGAACGGCGCCGCGTGCGTCCGCTGCGCGAGCGACACCCAGTCCACGCTTCTCAGCCACGGGTGCAACTTCACGTCCTTCACGCCGCCTTTCAGACAGCCTAACCGCTGAACCGAGTTCACGGTCAGCAACCTCCGGACGATGTCTTTGAAGTGCGGGGTCACGCCGGATGGGAACGAGTACTTCGCGACGAGGATGCGTCGCCACTGCGTCTCGCCGTCGCCGCCGGGGGAGTAAAACGGAGGCGCGCCGACGACCATCTCGTAGATTAAAACCCCGAGCGCCCACCAGTCCACGCCTTTGTTGTGGCCGGATTGCTTGTACAGCTCCGGGGACATGTACTCCGGGGTGCCGCACAGCGTGTACGTCTTTTCGCCGGGGAGTAAACGCTTCGCGAAGCCAAAGTCCGCGATCTTGAGGAAGCCGTTTCGGTCGATGAGCAGGTTTTCCGGTTTCAAGTCGCGATAGACGTAGTGCTTCGCTTGGAGGTACTGAAACGCGAGGACGACGCACGCGGCGTAGAAACGCGCGGTATCCTCGTGAAGCGCGCCGCCGACGCGCGCGAGGTGGTTAAATAACTCCCCGCCCATGACCGTTTCCATGCACATGTACAACATCGCGCGGTCTTGAAACGTCGCGACGAGTCTCACCGTGAACGGCGAGTCGCAGTCTTTCATGACGTCCCTCTCTTGCATGACGTGGTGCTGCAGCTGCGCGCCGAGAATCTGCGCTTTAGAGAGAGATTTAACCGCGTACACCTCGTCCTCGCGCGTGGCTGCGCGGGAGGGAAGGAGAGGAGAAGAGAGGAGAGGGGAGGGTTTAGGGTTAAAGAAGGAAAGCGTCAGCGGGGAGAGAGGACGGAGCGGAGGGGAAAAGTCCTTAAGGAACGGCGTTCACCACGCCGGCGCGGTCGTATGGGGAACAGTGTATAGAAAAAGCGAGCCGAGCCGAGCCCGCCGCGCCGCGCACCGAGGAAGACCTTTCCGAACGCGCCGACGCCCAGGACCGCTTTCACCGAGAAGTCGCTCATGCTCGAGACGTCCAAGCTCCTCTTGCCACCGTTACCGCCGCGTGATCCGCCTGATCCACCGCCTTGACCTTTCTTCGAAGGCGTCACGCCGTATTCGTTCACCGCGTCCCGGTCGAGAATCTCTTGCAGCGGTCCGAGGTGCTCGACGAAATCGTCGCGGCTTAGGGTAATTGCCCATACGAGCGAACGTCGGGGTGGAGTTGAAAGGCGTCAGTTGGAGTTGAAAGGCGTCGAGGTGTGTCGGGATTGAAAGCGAGGGGTGGGCGGAGAGTTGCGCCGGGAAAAGTCCTTAAGGATCGGCGTTCACCACGCCGACGGGGTCGTATGGGGACCAGTGTGAGATAGAACGCACCTCAGAGACAGCACGAACGCGCCGCCTTTCTCCACCGTCGCGCTCGCCGCCCTCGGATCCCCTCGCAGGAGCGCGAGCTCGCCGAAATATTCGCCTCTCGTGACGAGCTTTAACGTCTCTTCCCGATGCGTTTTTTTACCCCCGCCCTTCCTCGCGCGGTGAATCGCGACGTTCCCGGTCTCGACGATGTAAAACCGATCGCCGCGTTCGCCCTCTCTGAACACGACGTCGCCCTCGTCGTACTGCCGCGGCGTCAAGAACGGCACAAGCTTCGTGCGCTGGTCGTCATTGAGCGACCGGAGGAGCGTCACGTGCGAGAGGCACGCGAGGCGCGCGCGCGTGGTGACCTCGCGGAGACCGTCGCCGAGGATGCGCTCGAGGTCGCCGCGTCTGAGGGCGGAGTTGAAAGGCGTCAGAAGTGGAGTTGAAAGGCGTCATAGGGTCGGGCGTTGAAACCACCGAGGGTTGGGCGGAGAGTAACGAACGCCGGGAGAGAAAGTCCTTAAGGAATGAAGTTCACCACGCCGACGCGGTCGTACGGGGACCAGTGTGACTCGAACGCGCCTGAGCTCCAACAACGACGCGGGCGCGTTCGCGTCGACGTCGACGGTCGCGCGCAGCGCGCGGCGTTCGCTTCCCATGAGCGACCGCTCGCCGACGACGTCGCCGTCCTTCGCGCGCGCGACGACGCGGTCGTTCGCGTCCGTGACGACGACGACGCCGCGCTCGACGACGTACATCGAGTCCCCGGGGTCGCCGACGTCGAAGACGACGGAGCCGGCGGCGAACGCCTGAGGGCCGTTCCATCGTTCAAAGCGACGAACGTCGGGGTGGCGTCGAAAGGCGTCGGTCGAAGTCGAAAGGCGTCGAGGCGCGTCGGGGGGAGTAAACGCGAGCGAGGGGTGGGCGGAGCGAAACGACGGCGAAAGTCCTTAAGGATCGGCGTTCACCACGCGAACGGGGTCGTATGGGGACCACTGTGATCGCAAACGCGCCTTCGGCTTGGACAAACACGCGGTGATCTCGTTTAGCTCCGCGTCGGACACGGTCGCGAGCATCGGGACGCGACGCAGCGTGAGCCAGCGCCACATCTCGTCGTAGGAGCCGAGGAGTTCGTTGAACTTGTCGCGGTCGAGGTAGAAACACTCCGCGTGGTCGGAGGCGACGACGACGTCGGCTTTTCGCACGTCGTCGTTCATGAGCGCCTGCGAAGAGGATACGAACCGACGCGATGTGAGATGAGATACGAACCGACGCGGCGCGGGGTGGAAGCCACCCACCGCGCGAAACGAAACGAAACGTACCTTTTCACCGAAGCTGCCGCCTTCTTTGACCGCGCCGATGACGTCGCCGCGGTCGTTCTTGATCGATACCTCGCCGCTCGCGAGCACGTAAAAACGGTCGCCGACGTCCCCGCGTCGGATGATCGCGTCGCCTTTGTCGTACGTCACCGGCCGCAGCGCGTCCGCGAGCGTGGCCTTGTTCTCCTCCCCGAGCGGCGCGAGGAGCTCGCACGACTCCACGAGCGCGCGCTTGCGGCGCTGCAGTCGCTCTGTCGAACGGAAGTAGTGGGAAGCGTCGAGGTCAGTCGGGAAGGGCACGGTAAGACGAAAAGAAATCGTCTGGAGACGGATTCCGCCGCGGCGACGCACGCGCCTTGGTAACTGCGCTTGACGTTCACGTACACGCGCCGCTCGAGCTGCCAGAGCGCGCACTCTTCCGTCGCGCGCACCGTCGCCGCCCTCGGACAGCTGTACAGCAGCGCGAGCTCGCCGAACGAGTCGCCGGCGACGTACGACCCGACCCGCGTCTCTTCTTCATCCGCGGCGGGGGCGTTTGCGTTTTCGCTTTCGCTTTCGTCGCGTCCGTCCTTCTCGGAGTTGGAGACGTTTTCGTCGTCGCCGGCGTCGCCGGCGTCGTCGTCGTCGTCGCGCGCGCCGGCGTCGTCGTCGTCCGTCTCCGCCTCGCGCGCCCGCCGCACGTGCACCGTCGCCGCGCCGGACGCTAAGACGTAGAAGTGCGACGCGTCGTCGTCGCCCTGCGAGATGATGTCCTGACCCGCGGCCGCGACCGCGCGCGTCATCGTGGACGCGAGCACGAGGCGCGTCTCTTCGTTCAGGCCGTCGAAGAGGATGTTTCGTTCCACCGCGTTTAAGATGAGCTTGGTGGACGCCTTGTCCTTGGGGACTTTGGTGATGGACGCGTCGGACGCGAGCGCCTCGACCGCGATGGCGACGCGCTTCTTCTTCGCGCGCGCGCGTCGCGCTTTCTCCGCTCGCGCGTCCACCGCGGGCGGCGGAATAGGCGGCGGCGTCGCGCGCGTTTTCGCCCCATCATCGTCGTCGTCGTCGTTTTTCGCTTTTTCGTCATCGGATCTCGTCGCGCGGCGTCGTCCCGGCGCGTCGAGAGACCCGCGCTCGACGCCAGCCTTGTACGTCGCGCCGCGCTCGTCGCGCGCGTCTTTGCTCGCGACGCAGCCCATGGCGGAGGATGCGGGGCGGGCGGGGGTTGGGGCGGAGGTGCGCGAGCGGAGCGCGCGCGACCGAACTGTCCTGCGACGGGGAAACGGAACGTCACTTGCGTCTTCTGTGTTTTCCGAGAGAGGGCACCGACCGCGGATATCATGAATTGGGACGAAGCGCGTCGGTGGTGATTCGTTCACTCGTTCGCGGCGCCGCCGGCGCGTCGTCTTCGACCCCACCGCAGGGCGGCTCCTCGCGCGCGTCGAGTCGCGAAACGAACGCCGTTCGCGTTGACGCGCCGCGGCGTCCACGGCGCCGGGGCCCGAGGCCGACCACCGCGAACCTCGACGCCTCGGAGCATTCACTAAATTATTAATTTATCACGGTAAGTTGCACGGATGTCGCCGACGCATCCGCCGCGTTCGGCGGCCCCGATGCCGCCGCCGCCCTCGCGCCCGCCGCTCGCGCCCGCGCTCGCGCCCGCGGGCGCGCTCGCCCCGCCCGCGCTCCTCGCGGTCGCGGACATGAACAAAGTCGCGCGCGGAATCCCCGGCATGCCCAAGAGCGCGTCCGACGCCGACGTCGCGGGGCTGCAGGGTGGCATCGCGAGCAAGGTCAACGCGCCTCCGAAACCGCCGAACGGTGGGGTCGCGCCGAGGGCGATCGGCCCGAAAGCGTGGCTGAAGATGAACGAGGAGGGGATATGCACGCCGGTGACGATCGATAAGCACCGGCTGTCGTCGCTAGGTGCGTATCGCGCTGTCGTCGCGCCGCCCCGCCCGGCGCGCGGTGCGTTCCGCCACCATTTCGCGCGATTACCAAATGGATTAGATTATTCTCTTTCGCCCCATCGTCACGTCGTCCCCCGACCGACCCCGGCCGTTCCCTTCCCTTCCCTTCCCCCGCCGCCGCCCGCGCGCGCAGTCCGCGTCCCGATGCGCGATCTCAGGATGCTCGAACCGAGCCACAGCAACTCGTACTCCGCCGCGATATTGTGCCGCGAGCGGTGCATGGTGGTCCAGGTGGAACAGATTCGACTCTTGATCACCGCGGAGGAGGTGTACCTACAGGACGGTCGAAACATCACGGTCACCAAGTACCTCCCCGAGCTGCAACGGAGGCTGCTGATGCGGAAACTGAAGCTGATGGACTCGCACGGGATCTCGAACGTGTACGACAGCGACACGGACAAGGAGGATAACGGGGGATCGGAAAACGACGCGAAGCGAGGCGCGAGCGTCGACGCGAGAGAGGTCGTGATGTCGGAGGCGACGCCGCCGCCGCCGCCGCCGCCGCCGACGACGACGACGACGCCGGAGAAGACCGCGGGTTCCGGGCCCGGGTACGACAGCGATAGCAGCGTGCGCGGGGGGAAGCTCGCGAAAGGGTTGGGGAGCCGTTCGCAGTCGTTGGACGACGTGCAGCGGGTGGCGGCGACGGCGGCGACGGGGAAGGCGTCGTCGCCGCTCGCGCCGGCGTCTGCGAAACCGGCGCTTCAAACCGGCGTCGGGACGCCGCCGCCGCCTTTAGGGGCGAAGAAAATCCAAATCCAGTCGGCGGCGCCGGCGGCGTTAAAAGTCGCCGCCGCCGCCGCCGGCGGAGGCGGAGGCGGCGACCCGTGGGGCCCCGGAGGCGGCGGCGATAACAGCGTGTCCGCGACGCTTCGACGGTTGCAGTCGATGAACCGGAACGAGAGCGCTCGACAGGAGGACCTCCCGTTCGAGCTCATCGCGCTCGAGGTCGCGCTCGAGATTGTCTGCAACGATCTCGAGGCGGAGCAAGTCGCCGCGGCGGCGGAAGCGAAATCGTCTCTGGAGTCGCTGCGTAAGAAGGTGTCCACGGTGAACCTCGAGAGAGTCCGGCGGTTGAAGTCGAGAGTCACGCGCATGACTGGCCGAGTGTCGAAAGTTCGAGAAGAGATCAAGCGCTACCTGGACGACGACTCGGACATGCGAGACATGTACCTGACGCGCAAACTGCTCGCGGAGCTGTTCGCGAACATCCCAGGCAACGAGCGGCAAGGCGGCGCGACGCCGATGGGCGGGTTCAACGGCGCGGGGTTCCAAGCCGCCATGGCCGGCGTCGGCGGGGTGGGCGGGTATTACTCCCCTAGGTTCGGCGGCGGCGGCGGGGAGCCCGGACGCGGGGGCCGGGCGCAGATCCTCCGCCAGCCCATCCTCTCGCCGATCAAAGACAAGGGCGAGACGACGACCGACGGCGACGGCGACGCGAAACGCGACGACGACGACGCCACCGGCGGCGGCGGCGACGGCGACACTCCGAAGGACCACAGCGACGACGACGTCGAGCCGGAGTACTACCCCGACTTGAACGACGACAAGGACCTTCAGGAGGTGGAGGATCTGCTCGAGACGTACTTCGCGAACATCGACAGCACGTTCGCGGAGCTGCAAGCGCTGGACGAGTACATCGACGACACCGAAGACTTTGTTAACATCGAGCTCGACAGCCAACGGAATCAGCTCATCAAGCTCGAGCTCGTGCTCACGACAGCGACGTTGTTCGTCTCCATGTGCGTCGTTCGTTCGTTCGTTCGTTTCTCTTCGCTCAACCCAACCCCGCGCGTGCGTCTCTTTCGACGTGCGGTACGTTCAATTTGACCGGCGAGACGCCCGACTGACCCACCCGTTCACCCGTTCACAAACCGCCCCGCAGGTACGGCGTCGTGGCGTCCATCTTCGGGATGAATCTGACGAGCGGGAAGGAGGACTCTAAGAGCACGTTCGTGGCGGTGAACGTCGCGTGTTCGGTGCTGATGATCTTCGCGTTCGCGGCGTCGATGATTTACATTAGGTATAAGCGAATTCTGTGATTGATGATGTGCGAACGTCTCGTCGCGTTGGGTTTGGATTTGGAGGGGGAGGGGGGCGCGCGGCGGCCCCCGCCCCTTTGTACTATTTTTTTATTTATCGCAAACGAAAGTTTTGGCACCGAACCACGTCGCCGCGCCACTCGTCGCCGCGCGCGCCGCGGACGTCGCCGCGTCGTCGTCGTCGCGTCGTCGTCGTCGCGTCGTCGCCATGGTGGACATGAAGTCGCTGTTCGAAGCCGAGCGCGCGCGCAGAATTGAAGCGAAGCGAGCGACCGCCGCCGCGGAAGAGACGTCGTCGTCGAACGCGGACGAGATCCGCGCCGCGCCCGCGCCGTGCGATCTGTCGCCGCGGACGCCGCTGCGCCTCGCGGACCACGCCGTCGGCGCCGACCGCGGCGTCGCCGGCCTGCACTACGTCCCCGACTTCCTGTCCGCGGACGAGGAGGCCGCGGTGCTGCGCGGCGTGTACGCCCCAGACGCGGCGTCGCGTTGGGTCGCCTCGGGCCAGCGACGCGTGCAAAATTGGGGAGGGCGACCGTCCGAGTTGGACGTCGCGGAGCCGCTGCCGCCGTTCGCGGCCGCGCTCGCGCGCGCGGTATCGGACGCCGGGGTCGTCGCGGAGGGCGCGGCGCCGAACCACGTGCTCGTGAACGAGTACCGACGCCCCGCGGGCATAACGCCGCACAACGACGGCGACATCTACAACCCGCGCGTCGGTGCGTCTCCCGTTCGACCGCCCCGACGGCGCGATCGTATCGTACGCTTCAGCGAATCCGATCACGCGCTCACCAATCACACATCAATCACCAACCCTCCACGCGATCACCCGCAGCCATCGTCACCCTGAGCGGCGGCGCGCTGATAGACTTCTGGGCGCGCGAAGGCCCCGCGTCCGAGACGGACGACGAGGACGCGCGACGCCCGGACGCGCCGTCGCCGAGGTGCGTTCTATCTCACACTGGTCCCCATACGACCGCGTTGGCGTGGTGAACGCCGTTCCTTAAGGACTTTTCCCGGCGCATCTCTCCGCCCACACCTCGCTTTCAATCCCCGCCCTCGGCGCCTTTGAACTCCGACTGACGCCTTTCAACTCCACCCCGACATAGGGCGCAAGTGTACCTCCGACCGCGTTCGTTGCTGCTGTACGAGGGCGACGCGTACGCGCTCAGGTGCATTCTATACACTGGTCCCCATACGACCGCGTTGGCGTGGTGAACGCGATTCCTTAAGGACTTTTCCCGGCGTGTCTCTCCGCCCACTCCACGGTTTCAATCCCCGCCCTCGACGCCTTTCAACTCCAACTGACGCCTTTGAATCTCACCCCGATATTCGCTCGTATGGAACGACCCTCAGGCACGGGATACGCGAGGCGAGCGTGGACAGGATCACACCGCTGTGCGTCAACGCGGCGGTCGCGGGCGTGAAGGTTGGCGACGAGGTCGAGCGAGGGGAGACGCGCGTGTCCGTCGTTTTCGTTCGGAAAGAACGCCGATAGATACAGTAGGTACGAGTAGATCCCACCGCAGGCGCGACGCGCACGCGGCGCGGTTAGAAATACGTGCTTTAGTTAGAATACTGTAGAAGAAGAGCGCATAGATAGCGTACGCGTACGAATAGAGGTCGACGCGGTGGTGGTGGTTTAGTATCACGTCTTCGTCGTCGAAATCCTACGGTACAAGTACAACGAGCAGGACGCTGTCGCGTCGTGCTCCCTCTTTCGCTCGCGTCGCGTGTTTTATTTTTTCACGCGTCCGTCGCGCCTTTCGTTCCGTCGCTCGCGTCACAGTCCGCCGTTCGCGATTTCGCGCAGCGCGAGCGCCTGCGCGTCCAGCTCCTTCGCTTTCTCCCGCAGCGCCAACGCCCTCTCTTCCAACTCGCGCACCTGCAAGTGAAACGAGTTACGTGAGCCTCGACGTTTAAAATTGTAGAGGCCTTGAACGCCATCGCGTAGCGTTACCTTCATGCGTTGACGACGCGCGTACCCTTCCCTGAGCGCCGTCGCGGTGTTCTCCAGGCCGTCGGCTTCGCTCCTGAGTCCCACTGCCTTGCTCTCGAGGTGCGCGGGGCCGGTGAGGCCGCCCACGGCGAAGTTATCCTCCTCGGCTTCGAGCTCCTCGGCGAGGTATTCGCTGACGTGCGCCTCCTTCGAGTCGACTTCGTCGTCGTCGTCGTCGTGACTGGTCCCCATACGACCGCGTTCGCGTGGTGAACGCCGTTTCTTAAGGACTTCGTCGTCGTCGTCGTCGTCGTCGTCGTCGTCGTCGTCCTCTAAGACTTCCATCTCTTCCTCCTCGATCGTCGGCAGGGGCTCGTCTTTCACCGGGACCTTCGTCGCGAACCCGCGGCGCGCGGCGCGCGTCCGCGCGCGGTACGCTCGGTCCCACTCTCTTCCGGTTCTGACTCTCGCGCGCGCGCGATGGCGACGGCGCGGCGTCCTCGGTCGCGGCGGCCGCGGCATCGAGGTCGAGCTCGGTCGCAGCGGCGGCGGCGTCGAGGTCGAGGTCGAGGCTGCGAACATCTCGCGCGGCGGCGGCGGCGGCGGCGCGCGCGACGAGACGACGGCGTCGTCGTCGCCGACGACGTCGGCCTCCGTCGCGACGCGCGAACTCGTGAGCGAAGAAGGCTGAGGGTCGTTCCATACAAGCGAATGTCGGGGTGGAGTTCAAAGGCGTCAGGTGGAGTTGAAAGGCGTCGCGGTCGGGGATTGAAAGCGAGGGGTGGGCGTAGAGATGCGCCGGGCGAAGTCCTTAAGGAACGGCGTTCACCACGCCAACGAGGTCGTATGGGGACCAGTGTATAGAACGCACCTGAGAAAACTCGGAGAAGACGAACGTCGAGACCGAGCGAGCGATCGCGAGCCGCCCCGCGGCGTGGGAGATTTGCGCGCTCGCGCGAACGCGCGGCGTCGGCGTCGCGCGGAAGCGGTCGCCGCCCGCGATCGCCGTCGCGCGCGCCGTCGCGACGTCGGCGGCGGGGTTCGCGCTCGTGGAATAAGACCTGGTGCGCCCACGGTTCAAGACCACTCGGCCGACGGCGCTGGCGGCGACGCCGTCGACGCCGAGCGCCGAGGCGCGCGCGAGCTTCAGAAGCTCGGCGCACGCGGTGCGCGAGCTCGCACGCTGCGTCGCGCGCGCGAACATCGACATCGTGGGCACGCGGCGCGGCGCGTCGGTCCGCGCGTGGGGAGGTGGCTCCTCGCTTCCGCTCGCGAGTTGGCGCTGGGAGGGAGGGTTCCGAGCGCGTCGCGCGCGCGTCGCGGAGTGCTCGCCGGGAGCTACGACGACGCGGGGAAAAGAAACGACGCACGCGGGGGATAGAGGGTTTTCGCGGAGGGAGCCGATAGGAGGAGACGACCGGCGGTCGCGGCGCACGCGGCGGCGCGTCCAAGAAGAACGACCGCGCGGGTGGAAGGTTTCGTTTTGGCAAAGTTTTGGCATTTGGTTGGCAAACAATTTTTATTCACATGCAACTCCGTATACTGTAGTCCTCTTCCCATCGCCGCCGCCGCCGCCGCCGCCGCCGCCGCCGCCGCCGCCGCTCGCTCACTCGTTCATGTCAATCTCCGGCAGCTCGTCGTCGTCGCCCTGCTGCCCCTGCAGCGAGTCTCCCTGGCTCGCCGCGATCAGGTCCGGGTCGTGCGAGAACCGGCAGTCCTCGCCGTGGCGGCACTTTGGGTCGTTCCGTCGTTCAAAGCGACGTCGGGGCGGAGTCGAAAGGCGTCAGACGGAGTTGAAAGGCATCGCGGTGTGTCGGGATTGAAAGCGAGGAAGGGGTGCGCGGTTAGAGACGCCGGGAGAGAAAGTCCTCAAGGAACGGCGTGCACCACGCGAACGCGGTCGTATATGGGGACCAGTGTGAATCAGAACGCGCCTTCCCCCGCGCGAAAAACGTGCACGGCGCGTTGATGCCTCCGCCCGCGCCGGCGGCCGCGCCGTCGTCCCCCGCGATCTCCGCGCCGGGGCGGACCCACGTTTTTGATAACGGTCCTTTTGTGGGCGTTTTCCTCTCGCCGCCGGCCGCGCCCGCGCCCTCGCCGCCGGCGCCGTCCGGAGTCCACACGTTGGCGCCTCTGCCTCTGCCTCTGCCTCTGCCGGCGCCCATCATTCCGCGGCCGCCGCGGCCGCGCTGCATCGCGGCCATCATCTGAGGCGTGACGACCATCATCATCTGCTGCCCGTTGCCTGTTATTTCATTTCATTCCGATTCCGCGCGAGAGGGGAAGGATGCGCGCGCGCGTAAGAAGAGGGAGGACGGGACGGGAGGAGGACGGATCGCGACGAACGGAACGGAACGGAATGGAAAGGATTCTCGTCGACGACGATCGATCGCGATCGGATCGATCGATCACACATCGATCGAAGACAATCGCGCGATCGATCTCGGGGCGCTCGCTCGCTCGCTCGCTCGTCGCGTCCGCGCGCCGCGCACCGTACGGATCCCGCCCGCGCTTCCCCCCGTCCGGTCCTCCCTGCGCGCTCCTCAGCGACTGATGACAGTCGTTGCACACCGGCGGGTTCCCTCCCTTCACCGGCCTGAACGGAACCTCGCAGTCGTTCCCGCATCCCTCGCACTTACCCGCGAACGTGTCCTTGCCGTCGTCGCGCGTGTTCCCAGAGGGCGACCAGCCTTTCAACGTCGGCGGCGCCTGCCTTCGCTCGCCGCGAACATCGCCGTACGGGGAGTACCGGTCGTTGCGGTAGCCCCCGCGCGGGGGGCCGCGGTCGGCGTACCCGCCGCCGCTTCGTAGCCTCGAGCGGAGATCGTCCGGATGCGCGCGCGGCGGGAGCGGCGGCGGCATTATGCTGATGGTTGGATGTCGTCCGCGGAAGCGCTCGCTTCTTCGCGGCGGCGCGGGGGTCGGTGGACGGCGCGGCGCGACGAGGCGAAGGCGCGACGCGGCGTGATCGAACGCGCGAAAACCGTGGACGGCGCGGCGCGTGGACGCGGAAGCGCGCGCGGACGTCGACTGGCCGCGGGGCGGAATTCGTCGGCACCGTCGTCTCGTCTCGTCGCGTCGTTATTCGCGCGAACAGAAATTGGCACTCGAGTATCGAGTGCTCGGTTTGAGCCCTGCCCCTTCGAGGCTTTCCGTAAACTCGCCGCGCGCTTCGTTCGCGTCGTCGTCGTGTCATCGTTATTACATCGTCCTCGTCGTCGCGCCGCGTCGCGTCGTCGTCTACGCGCCATCACACGTCGTCCTATCCTCGCGTCGATTCAGTTCACTCGCGTCGATTCAGATCCCTCCTCCTCCTCCTCCGCCGCCGCCGTCGCCTTCTTTCACCACGCGAAACAATAACTCCAACTTGAGCCCCCGCCGCGCGAACGACGCCCGCAGGGCATCGAACGTCACCGCGCGCGCGCCCGCGAGGACGTCCGCGGCCTCCTCCGCGAGGCACGCGTCGTTCTCGTCCGCGTCGTCCCAGAACTCGATAGAAGTCGCGTGCCTCGCGAACGCGGCGACCCCGCGCGTCTCCTCTGCCGCCGCCGCCGCGGCGGGGGGAAGCGCGGGCGCCGCCGCGGACGGCGCGCGTCTCGGGACGTCCACGACGTTCGTGACGTTATCCGGGAGAAGCTGCAGCGCGCGAAGAGGCGGCGACGGCACTACGTTCGGGCTAAGCGTCGCCTTGAGCCGCTGCCAGATCGAACGCGGGCTCGGCGGTTTCGTCGCCGTCGCCGCCGCCGCCGCCGCCGCCGCGGTCGCGTCGACGTTTTCGTTCTCGTCTCGCGCTGGAGGGGAGGTGACGACGACCGGTACCGGCGCGTTCAACGCCGCCGGCGGCCGCGCGACCGGACTCAAGACCGTGTGCGACTCCTGCGGCGTATCGCCTCTCGGGGGCGTCGCGAGCGCGGGCGCGGGCGCGGGCGCGGGCGTCGCCGCGACGTCTACGTCTTTTGGGGAGGCGCGGGGCGACTTCGGACCCCCCCGCGGACGCGCGGAGGGCGGCGTCAGCGCGTCGAGTCCGCCGTGCTGGTTCGCCGCGGCGATGAGGAGCTCCATGCTCCCGCCGCCGTCGCCGATCCGCCGGCGCTTCTTCGGCGGGAGCGAGCTCGCGGGCGCGACGGGCGAGGACGGCGGCGGCGGCGGCGGCGGCGCGCGCGTCTTCGTCTTCGTCGTCTTCGTCGTCGTCGTCGTCGCGGTCGGCGCCGCGCCGCGCTTCGTCGTGGTCGGCGCCTTCGTCTTCGCGGGCGTCGTCGCGCGCGCGCGATCGCGATCGCGATCGCGCGCGCGCTTCTTCGCCGGCGCGGTCGTCTCCTTCGCGGTCGTCGTCGTCGTCGTCCTCGCCGTCGCGGCCGTCGCGACGGGGAGGCCGCCGCCCTCGCGGTGGTGGTCTTTGAAGCACCTCTCCGCGTCTCGGCGCGTGGAGAACGTTCCCAGCGCGACCGTCGCGCGCGACTCCTTGTCGTACGCGCGGACGTGCCATCGCGTCTGCGAGTTGGACGTCACGCTCTTGCGGATGTACGACGACGGGATCGACGTCGGCATGGCGCGGCTCGGAGCGGCGCGGCGCGGCGCGGTGTGGGAGGCGCGCGCGCGGGGGGGAAGTGCGCTCGCGACGCGAAAGGCGCGAGCTCGCGCTTGAAAGCGAAATCTCCAGGAAATCTCCTCGCTGAGAGCTCGACGAGTCAGCAGTGCTTCTCGCGCGCGCTCGCCCGCCGCGCCGCCGCCGTCGCGCGTCGTCGATGCGTCCGGCGGGAACCGTCGCGAGCGCCTCCGCGCCCGTCGCGTCCACGGCGGGACGGCGCGTCGCGTCCTCCTCCTCCTCCTCCTCCGCGCGCGCGTCGGGTCGTCGCTCCGCGGGAGGCGGTCGCCGTCGAGGTGACGATCTCTTCTCGTCGTCGTCGTCGTCGTCGTCGTCGTCGTCCGCTCGCGCATCGCGCGTCGTCGTCGCGTCGTCCTCGTCCTCGCGCGGCGGCGAGGACGACGCGTGGGACATGACGCGGCTCTCCGACTTCGAGAGAGAGGCCATGCGCGCGGAGTGGTCCCTGGAGTGCCGCCAGGTCGGACTCGACCACCTCGCGGACTGCTTCCAAAAACCGAGCGTCGCGAACCCGGCGGACGTCGCCGATCAGACCGCGGAGGTCGCCGCGCTGAAAGCGGCGCTGAGCGATGCGTCGATCGACCCGATCGAGCACGTCACGTCCTCGATCGCGCCGACCGACGACGAGCCGGCGAAGCTGGCGTTCTTGAACGGCGAAGGCGTCGAAGAGATCGCGCACACCGGGAACGGCACGTTCGACGCTCACTTACTCGGCGTGAAGCGCGTCTTGGGTGCGTCCACTTGTCACCCTGCCACGTCACCCGTTCCCTCGTTTCACGAACCACCAATCACGCGCGTGCACGTGTCAAGAATACTCTAGAATACCACCTCACCGACCAATCACACCGCTTCGTTCCCGTCCACGTCAGCGTCCTGGGGGTGCTCGCCCGCGTTGCAAGACGCGGGACTGTTTCACAGCGTCTACGGCACCGAGGGGTTCCAGGGGTTCTGTCTCCCGTACGAGCGCCGGGACGACGTCCGCGCGCTCGTGGGCGCGTACGCGGAGCGACTCGTGTGGACGTTCTGCGTCGTCGACCGACTCTCGGTGGACAACGATCTCGACGACCGGACGAAGAGCTGGCTCGCGCGGCCGGAGCTCGGCCGCTTCGACGTCGACGCGAGCGACGGCGAGTTATCGGACATATCCGATGACGCGGACGTGAAGACGCGTCGGCGCGACTTTTGGCACGATTTCATCACGCTGACGCTCGCGGATTGGCTGGAACAGGTGGAGGGCGCGAGTCGAACGACGTCGGAGATTTTCGAGTGGTTCGAACCCGGGGACGCGTGGGGGTATCGCCGCGGCGCGTACGCGAGGATGGTTGACATCGTCGCCGCGCGGTACCCGAAAGCGCGGGTGTTGTACGACGCCGTGTACGCCAGGGAAGGGGAAAAGAGCAAGGGGGTGCGGCAGCCGATCACGCCGCCGATGTCGGAAGCGGCGAGGCGAGCGCGCGAGGGGATGGAAAAGGTCGAGCCGAGGTTTCCGTGAGCGAGTCTGGCTTTTCGAGACCGGGACAACATAAAAAACGTCTCTTAGACGACTAGCGGCGGCGACGTGATACGGAAGCGGCGTGCGGAAGCGCGTACTTCCGGAAGCGAGGGTATCTACTACTGTATCACGTCAACGCATCGTATCAACCAAAAACATACTGTATTCTACAACACGACGGATAGCACCATGCACACGACGCCGGTGAGACACACGAGCGCGATGACCGCGCTCTCGCCCGCGCTCGACTTCACCCCCGCGCGATCGTTCGCGAGCTTCAAGATCGCCGGCGGCATCGCGATGGACATCGCGCAGCAGCACACGCCGCCGACGAGGCCGAGCACGGTGCCGAAATTCGGGACGTTTCCGGCGAGGTAACCCGCCGAGAGCACGAACGCCGCCCTCGTCGCGAGCGACGCGGGTACGCTGATTTCCTTCCCGCGCGCGATCGTGGATTCGAGGATCACGAGGGCCGACCTCGCCATGAGCGGGAACGTGAACTGCGGCGGCGGGAGGGAAATAACGCGTGAGGTCGCGGACGAACGACGGGGAAGGAGGGAGGGGAAATCGGTCGATCGATCGCCGCTCGCGCACGAAGTCCTTAAGGAACGGCGTTCACCACGCGAACGCGGTCGTATGGGAACCAGTCACGACGACGACGCGCCGCTCGCGCACCAGTAAGTTGACGCAGAGGAGCGCCTTGACGATCGTCCCGCCCACGCCGGTGAGCATCGTGATCACGACGCTGTTCACCCCGGGCCCGAAACCGAACGCGCCGACGACGCCGAAGACGACGGAGACGCCCATCGCGATGGCAAACGCCTTGCTCACCGCCGGGACGAATCGCGTCTGGTCCGGCATCGCCTCTTGGACGCTAAACAGCGTGAAGTGGATGAAGAATAGGAACGCGACGGTCCCGAAGAACCCGCTGAACGCGCTCAAGTTCGCGAGCGGGATCGCGGAGACCTGCAGCGGGTTCGACGCCGCGACGGCGGTGACCCACAGCATGCCGAGGCTCACGCTCGCCGTCCCGAGAAGCGAGATGAGATTTACCCCCTTGAAGTCGCGCACGAACGCGAGCCCGAGCCACGCCGGGAGCGTCCGCGCGATCATCGACGCGGTCGTGAACGACGCCGCGTGTTGCGCCGGGAGCATCGAGATGACGGTGTCGGACACGAAGATCATGTATCCGACGGAGATGCCGAAACACGTGATCACGTTCAGGGCTGCGCTCGCGCGAGGCGACAGGACAGACGTCGGGGCGGAGTCGAAAGGCGTCAGACGGAGTGGTTGTGAGGCGTCGCGGCGTGTCGGGATTGAATAAAGCGTGGCGTGGGCGGAGAGAGACGAACGCCGGGAAGAAAAGTCCTTCTTAAGGATCGACGTTCACGACGCGAACGATGTCGTACGGGGACCAGTCGGAGCGTCCGCGCACCTTTGCACACGACGTCGCCGACGGGGCCGACCGCCTCCTTCGTGAGCCCGGCGTACGTCGCCACCGCGGCGCGCGACGACTGCCCGCTCGCGACGAGGACGTCCTGCGCCTTGACGAGCATCTTGAGCGCGGTGAGCGCGAAGACGTAGCTGAACGCCAGGCACGCGGTCACGAGCGCGGTGCCGCCGTTCGCGAACGCCCACGGCAGCGCGAACCCGCCCGCGCCGAAGATGGCCTTCACGGTGTTGATCACCGCCGCCGCCTCGCCGCCGTCGCCTCCGGTCGCGGGGGTTGGGGCGGCGGCGGAGGACGCGGACGCGACGACGCGCGTTCGCGTTCGCGTCGGGGGGGACGAGCGCGCCGAGAGGACGACGAGACGATGGTGATGTTGATCATCGTTCGGCGTCGCGCGCGAGGGAACCGCGGCGGCGACGCGGCCGCGCGCCGGCCCCGCGGCCGACGCGCGGATCGAGGCGGTGGACGCGCGGCGGCGGCGGCGCGTCGTCGACGACGTCGCGGATACCCCGAGGGCGCCCACCGCGGGCGCGGACATCGTCGTCATCGTGTCCCCGAGCGCGGAGGCGTGTGCGACGCGCTCGCGATCGCGCCGACGCGTTTACGTTTTCCCCCGCGGCAGAAGAGGCTCAGGCGGCAGCAAATTTTCATAGGGCTACAAAAAATGTTTATCGGTCAGTTGAAAGAAGACTCGATCAAGTGTTGAAACCGAGCGATGGGTGAAATACGTTTGTGTATATTTCGCAGTCTGCGACCAGAACCGTTTCTGATGAGTCTCGGGAGCTCCGAGACGCGCGCGTCGTCCGCGGCGTCGTCAGTCCAGCGCGACGCGGCCGCCGGGTGGGTCGCGCGCGGATCCGTCGTCTCTCTTCGCCTCAGGGACCGCGGCGGACGCGAGCGCGCGTCGACGTCGCGGGATCGAGCGCGGCCGCGGTCCCTCGCCCTTCATCGCGCGCCCGTCCTCCGGGCGGGTGGGCACTCTCGCGAATCATCAGATCCGTTCCCCCCGCCCGCGGCCTCTATCCTCCTCCTCCGCCCGCGCTCGCGTCATGGGCGCGAACGCGTCGTCGCTCGAGAGAGACTCGCGCGCGTCCTCCTCGGACGCCTCGAGAACCTCCTCCTCCGCGAAGTCGAAGTCGATCCGAGGACGGCGCGACTCCAAGAAGGCGCGCGCGCTCGCGAACGCGATGCGCGCCTCCGCGGCGGTCGCGCGAACGCCGACGCGCTCGCTCCTGAGCGCGGAGGCGCGTCGCGCCGTCGCGTCGTGCTCGCGCTCGATCGAGTTCGCGGACGGGACGCTCGTGCCCGTGGACGGCGACGACCCGTGGGCGAAGACGCACGACCGCGACGGCAGGGCGCTGTGGCGCGCGGACGCGGGCGCGCTGCGCGCGGGGGACCACGGCCCGCGGCGGATGGTGGTCGAGATTCTCGCCGCGCGGAACCTGGAAGGCGCGTCCCGTCCGACATTCAATATCGTCCACTCATCATGTGCCACGTGTATGCACACGTCATCAAAAGCACACCATGCTGACCAATCGCGTTCGTTCCCTCGATACGCCACCAGGCACGGATCTCGGCGGCACGTCGGACCCGTACGCGTCCGTAGCGCTCGGAGAAATCACGCGAAAGACGAGCACGGCGTTTCGCACGTGCGACCCGGCATGGGGCGAACGGTTCGAATTCATCGCCGCGAAAGCGCTCGAGGACGACGAGGTGATCGTGACGCTGTACGATGAAGACCTCGTCGGCGCGCACGATTTTTTAGGGCAGATCACGATACCGGTGCGCGCGGTGGACGAAGCGCGGCGCGGCGGCTCAGGCGCGTTCTATACACTGGTCCCCATACGACCGCGTTGGCGTGGTGAACGCCATTTCTTAAGGACTTTTCCCGTCGTCTCTCTCCGCCCAGGGTCCCTCGCGTTCAATCCCCGCCCTCGACGCCTTTCAACTCCGCTTCTGACGCCTTTCAACTAACTTCACCCCGACGTTCGCTCGTATAGAACGGCCCTGGGTCGGCGACGACGACGACGGCGAGCCGGACGCGAACTGCTCTCGCGTCCGCGCGCACTGGGTGAAGCTGCAGTCGAAGAGGCCGCCGCCGGAGAGAGACCGCGGGGTGGTGACGCTGGGGTGTTACCTCGATGCTGACGTGGAAGAGCGGTTACACGTCACGGTCGCGAGCGCGCGCGGGATCGAAGCCGCTTCGGTGAGACAGAAGACGCCTTCCCGCGCGACAAAAAAAGACTTCCCGCGAGATGCTTCCCTCTTCGCGCGTCGCGCGTCGCTTCTCGATGCCTTCTTAACGTGCTTCTCTTCACCCCGTGCTCGGTTTCGGCTTCGACGCTCGACCGACGCGACGCCTTTCGACTGACCGAGCCCGACCGCGTTGAAACCGCGTCGCAGGATCCGTACGTCAAGGTGACGTTACTACGCGTCGGCGAGAACGAGAGGCCGAAGGACGACGACGCGAGAAAGACGCGGGTCATCATGCCGAAACAGCGGAACGAGCCGACGTGGAACGAGACGTTCGTGTACGACCACGTGTCACGATTCTCCGACAGCGTCGTGATGCTCGAGTTGTACGACAAGAATGGGTTCGGCGCGGACGAGGCGATGGCGCAGGTGGTGTTGCCCGTGAAGAGCCTCCCTCAGGTGCGCGAAGTCCTTAAGGAACGGCGTTCACCACGCGAACGCGGTCGTATGGGGACCAGTGTATAGAACTTACCTTGGCCTCGCGACGCGCGACGTTCGGACGACGCGCGTCTCTCGTCTCTCGCACCACGGCCAACGCATATTCCACGTCATCGAAAGACAAAAACTAACGACCAATCATCGCCCTCCGCGTCATCGTATCGGTCGATCAATTCACAGGCGGTGCTCGGGGACGTGCGGTCCGCGCCGAGAGAACACCCGTGGCGGACGCACAGCAAAAAACGAAAAGTCTCCGGCGAATGCAACGTCATCGCGTATTTCATCGACGACGAGAAGACCAAGCTGTGCGTCCGCGTGACACGCGCGAAGGACATCAAGGCGGCGGACTTGGGCGGCACGTCCGATCCGTACGTCAGAGCGACGCTGACGACGCCGATTAAAGACCCGGAGACGGGTCGGGAAGATCAAATTTTCAAAACCAAAGTCGTGTGGAAGACGATCGAGCCGACGTGGAACCACAACTTCATCTTCCGCGTGTGGCCGTCCACGGACGCGCAGATCAAAGCCGCGGAGACGACGAAGATCGGGGTCCTCGGGACGATCGTGAACGGCGTCTACGGCGGTTTAGACTCGTTTAAGAAGGCGACCGGGTGCAAGAAAATTGACGAAGTCGAAGCCCGGGAGAGAAGAGAGAAGAGAGAGGTGAAAGCGAAGTTGAAAGCGCTGAAGAGAGAGGAGAAGGCGCGGAAGAAGAAGAGAGCGTACAAAGCCAGCGACTTCAAGACGATTGACGTCGCGGCGAGGGCGAAGCGGGACGCGATCGAGCGCCGCGCTATGATCACGAGTCTCGGCGGCGGCGACGCGGGCGGCGGAGGAGGGCGAGGGAAAGGATCCGACAAAAGCAAAGGCGGCGGCGTCGCCTCGTTCGACGCCGTCGCGTTCGGCGGCGGGAATGGCGGCGCGAGCGGCGTCCAGATCGTGAAAGGGCAAATCCTAGAGCTCGACCTGTTCGACTTCGACGAGGGCTCCTCGGATGATTTCCTCGGAAGGATACTCTTGCCGCTCGAACAAATCCCCACGGCGAGCCAGGGCGGGGATAAGGTGAGACTGCTTCCCATACGCTCCCGTTCGCGCGTCGCGTCGAGCGTCGTTTCTCGTCGAGGCCTTCCGCCGTCGTTTCGTGTACAGTACAGCACGCGTAGTCGTAGCTTCACCCGCGCTTCCCTTTCGACGCTCGACCGATGAGACGTTCGACTGACCGATAATATAACGCGCGTCGGTTCGCGTCACCGGTTCCTCCATCAGATTTCGCACTGGTATCCGTGGCGCGATCGCAAGGACCGTCCCATCAAGGGCGAGCTCCTCGCCCGCGCGTACTTCCCGGACCCGAATCCGATGCCCGCGGACGCGCGTGTGCCTCGAGACCTCGCGGAGCGTCTCGAGAGGCGAGCGCGCGAGAAGGAGATCGAAGGCCGCGCGCGGCTGAAAGAGGAGGCGCGGGCGTTGTACCAGGAGCTCGAGGCGCAGATTCTGATGCAACTACGATGTCAGGCGCGTTCTGGTTACATACACTGGTTCCCATACGACCCCGTTGGCGTGGTGAACGCCGATCCTTAAGGACTTTTCCCGGCGCATCTCTGAGCCCACCCCTCGCTTTCAATCCCGACACACCTCGACGCCTTTCAACTCCGCTTCTGACGCCTTTGAACTCCACCCCGACGTCGCTTTGTATGGAACGACCCTCAGGCGTGGCCGGAAGACATCGCGAGGAAGTACGCCAAGGCGTACGCGCGCCACGGGCACGAGTCGCACCTCATTCCCGAGCCCCCAGACGGGCTCACGATTCCCGCGGCGTTCGCGCACATGTTCGACACCGCGGAGACAGCGTGGGAGATGGAGGAAGCGAGGGCGCGCCTTCGCGGCGGCGGCGACGGCGGCGGCTACGGCGGCGGCGACGACGACGAACGCGGCTGGAGCGCGTCCAGGGAGGTCGCGCGCGAAGCCGCGGAGCGCGATGCGATGCACGCCGGCGACGTCGACGAGGACGGCGACGTGGACGACGGCATCGTCGCGGAGATGACGCGGCTCGCGTCGCTTCGAGCCAAGGCGGAGCGAGAGGAGGAGCGAGAGGCGGCGGCGGCGAAAGCGCGTGAGGAGGCGGAAGCGGCGGTGGAAGCGGCGAGAGCCGCGGAGGAGGTCCGCGCGCTCAGAGCGTCCGTCGCGGCGGCAGCGAAGCTCCACGCGGCGAAGCGGTGGGGCGTCGCGAAGCAGTTGGCGACGGACGCGGTCGCGGCGAGGAGCGAAGACGCCCGCGACGCGTTTCGCGGCGTCGTCGCGGAAGCCTCCGCGGCGGAGAAGTGGAGAAAGGCTGAGGCGCGTTCTTCTGTCATCTCACACCGGTCCCCATACGACCCCGTTGGCGTGGTGAACGCCGTTCCTTGAGGACTTTCTCTCCCGGCGTGACTCTTCGCCCAGGGTCCCTCGCTTTCGATCCCGACACACCTCGACGCCTTTCAACTCCTCTTCTGACGCCTATCAACCCCATCTGACGCCTATCAACTCCGTACAGCGCGAGAGCCGCAGAGTCGAGGAGGAGACGATGAAACACCGAGGGAACCCGCGCGCGAGGCAAGCGCACGCCGCGCGGCTGGAGCGCGCGGAGGAGCGACGCGCGAAGGAGGAGACCGCGGCGGCGGAAGCGGCGGCGCGAGAGAGAAGGGCGCGAGAGGAGGAGCGCGCGGCGCGCGCCAAGGCGCCGTGGGCGGCGTCGGAGACGGACGGTCGCGATGATGCGAACCGACGCGACGGTTCATATCCTCGAGACGACGAGCCGCCGCTCGTCGGGAAGCTCGCGGGGACGAGCTGGGGCGCGCACTACGCGCGACAGCGCGCGAGTCATGTCGGGAAGAAACCGAAGCCGACGGCGATGGCGATGTCGGCGGCGGCGACCGCGACCGCGACCGGCGGCGCGGCGCCTTCGTTTAAAGCCGCGGCGAGCGCGGTGGCGAGCGCGAAGCGGATGTCTTCGCTGCCGTGGGCGACGAAATCGAAATCGAAATCGAAGGATGCCGCCGCCGTCGCCGCGACGACGACGACGACGGCGCCGGCGCGACGGCCGCCGGCGGAGCGACCGCGTCGCGCGGTGGAGACGCTCCCGCTCGAGGAACGCGACTGAGGGGCGTTCTACACGACACTGGTCCCCATACGATCCCGTTCGCATGCGGCGGGGAACGCCGTTTCTTGAGGACCTTCCGTCCCGAGGGGCGTCCTATAAGATACGCGGTATCAGGCGTTAGGTATTGATAGCTAGTTCTGTGGTGGTGATACGATAGCAGATCGGCCGACCTATCGCACGCATATATCCTATCCTATCGCGCCTTCTTCGTCGCCTTCGCGGTCGCGGTCTCATTAGTCTTATTAGTCTTCTCCTCGCCCCGCGCGTCCGCCGCGTCCGCGGACGTGAGCGTGCTCAGGGTCGTTCCATACAAAGCGATGTCGGGGTGGAGTTGAAAGGCGTCAGATGGAGTTGAAAGGCGTCGATGGCGGGGATTGAAAGCGGGGGGTGGGCGGAGAGACGCGCCGGGCAAAGTCCTTAAGGATCGGCGTTCACCACGCCGACGCGGTCGTATGGGGACCAGTGTATAGAACGCACCTCAGCGAGAGTATCGTGTTCCACGCTAACCCCATCCCGCTGACGTAGAGAATGTGGTACCCCGGCGGCACCACCGCGAACTGCGCGAACTGCGCGGGGAGCCAGAACGCCCAGTTCTGACACAGCAGCCGCGGCGTGAACCGCTCTCTCGCGAGCGCGATCGACTCCTCCGCGGTGAAGCCTCGCACGAACCCGGTCCACGCGAAGTAGAACGGGTAGTACAACGTCGGCACGGCGACGAACTGATTGATCAGCAACGGCGCGAGGACGTCGGCGCGAATCAGCGACGGGCGCTTCGTCGCGGTGCTCAACGCCATGACGCTGCGCCGCGGGAACCACCGCTGGAGCGCGCGGAACCAGTGCATCTGGAACCAGGACGTGTAGATGGCGCCGAACGAGGCGAACGCGGCGAGGCGTCGCGCGTCGATCGCGAACGGTTTCGAGTCGCGGTCGCGCGAGCCCTCGTGCTGGATCCTCTGCGCGGCGACGTCGCCGACGCACAGGATCACGACGCCGGTGCCGACGCGCGTCGTCGTCGGGTGCGCCTCGTTCATCGCGGCGTAGCGCTGGAGCAAGCCATTGAGGGAGGAGGAGGAGGACGACGACGCGCCGCTTTTTCCGCCGTTCGACGCGCCGCTCGAGATGGCGCGGTTACTCGCCGCGTCCGCTCGGGAGACGTCCCTCCTCGGCCCCGCCCCGCCGCCGCCGCCGCCGAGTCGCCGCCGGACGCCGCCGCCGGCGCTGAACCCGCGCGCGAACGCGCGCGAGGGGAACCGCCCGGCCATCGTCGTGTCGCGAGCGCGCGCGCGGTGACGGTATTCGTCGTTCAGATCAACTTTTTGCTCAAAAGTTGGCACGGGTGCCCTGAACGAAAAAATAACAACGCCCCGCGCGGCGAGGGAGATGCGATGGCGAGAACGAGGACGACCGTGAGGCCGCCGAATCCGCCGAGAAAGAAGCAAGCGTTCGTCGACATCCTCGATGAACTCGCGGACGTGTGCGAAAAGCTCGGGGACGGCAGACGCGCGAAAGCCTTCCTCGTCGCCTCGGAAAAGATGAGATCTCACGACGACGGCTCGGACGTCCTCTCCGAGGAGAGCCCGGCGGTCTACGCGAAGGTCGAAGGCGTCGGCGAAGCCGCTCTCGAGCTGATGCACGAATTCGTGACCTACCAGGACAACTGGTCGCCCTCGGGGGAGCTCGAAATCGCGACGGAGCTGAAAGAGAAGCTCCTGGAACGACGCAAGGACGCGGCGCGCGCGGCCGCGAGAAAGATTCACGCGCGCACTGGAGGAGGAGGAGACGCCGCGCCGCCTGGTCCCACCCCCGCGCTCCCTTCCGAGGTCCTCGCGGAGATCTTCTACATCGTCTCCAGAGACACCTCCCCGGACGTCGGCCTGCGGAACGTCCTGCGCGCGAGCCAGACGTGCCGGGGATGGAGAGACGCGGAGCGAGAGTCGAGGTGGCTGTGGAGAAGCATCCGCGAGGACCGCTTCGGCGCGGACCCGAATGAGGTGCGTTCTATACACTGGTTCCCATACGACCGCGTTCGCGTTGTGAACGCCGATCCTTAAGGACTTTGCCCGGCGCATCTCTCCGCCGACCCCTCGCTTTCATTCCCCGCCCTCGACGCCTTTCAACTCCACCTGACGCCTTTCAACTCCACCCCGACGTTCGCTTGTATAGAACGACCCTGACGGCGACGACGGCGGCGACGACGACGACGGCGGCGACGCGCGCTGCGACCATCGCGCGGCGTGTCGCCGCCTCGCGACCGGCGACGCCGTCGCGTGCGCGTACGAGCGCGGGAGATGGCTGCGCGAGATACAGGACGCGAAGACGTACGTCGTGAAGGTGTCGCATCCGTTCGAGATGGTGAGCGCGAGAGGGAGGTTTCTCACGACGACGCGCGAGACGGAAGACGAACCCGACCCGGAGCGACTCCACTTCCACGCGCGCGGCGCCGAGGACGTCGATTACGTCGTCGAGATCCCCGCGCGCGTCGGGAGGAAGAAGAAGGACGAAGACGGAGACGGAGACGCGCGGTCCGTCGAGATCCCCGCGCGCGTGCACGAGCACGTTCTCGAGCTGCCTCTTCCGGACTTCCGCGGGTGGATCCGAGACTGCGACGCGCGGTACGACGCGCTTCAAACGCGCGACGCGCCGCCGCGGGATTGGTCGCTCCTGTCGCTTCCGGGCCGCAGACAGACGCGCTTGTTGGTCTCCGTCGGGGTCGTCCGCGACCGAGAGGACGCGAAAGGTCGCGGGATGAATACGAATCGACGCGACGTGGAGACGCTCGCGTCGTTCGCCGCGACGGTGACGACGTACCCTCCGGAGGTGGAGCGGGAGCTGCTCGACCGCGCGAATAAGGCGCGTTCTATACACTGGTTCCCATACGACCGCGTTCGCGTGGTGAACGCCGATCCTTAATGACTTTTGCATTCGTCTCTCTCCGCCCAACCCACGCTTTCAATCCCCGTCCTCGGCGCCTTTCAACTCCAACTGACGCCTTTCAACTCCACCCCGACGCGGGCGGAGAAGGCGATGGACGCGGGTCCACTGATTCTTCTTCCGTCCCAGTCCCAGTCCGCCGCGATGGAGGCCGCGGAGGAATCCGCGTGGGCGACGCTCCTCGTCGACGGTTTCTCGATCCCGTCGCGCGAGGAGCTGCTCGTCGGGGAAGACCTGCTGCCGGCGCGCTCGCCGCGCGCCGTGACGCCGTCGCGCACCGCGGCTGACCCGGCGGTCGGTTTCGACATGCCGCCCAATGAGCTCTTCCGCGACCAGTTCGAGTACTCGCTGAGCTTTTATTTCCCTTTCCCGTGCGACGTCGGTCGCGACGCGCCCGCGCCTTTCCCGGTCGTGGTGAGAGGGACGTTGCCGCCGCCGACGAGGTTGCGCGGAGTGAAGATAAAATTCCTTCGGTTCAAAATCGCGGGCGGCGAAGCCGCGAGAGTCATGAGCGTCCTGGAGCGCCTTTCGGAGAGCGATCTCGAGAGGGTTCGGTGCTCAGTGACGTTCGTGCACCGGTCCGGGAAAGCCTCCGCGACCGCGGTGGGCCTCGCGTGGAGCCCCGGGTGGATTAACCACGCGCTCGGGAGGACCGGGAGATCAACGGGGAGCGGGCACCCGCCCGGGGGGTCGCAGTTTTGCGACGGCGACGCCACATCGTTCCTCGATACGGACGTTCGCGACTACTTGCTCGACGTCGCGAACCGCGAGGAACAGGAAACGGCGACGCTCCCCGAGCGCCATCGCGAGCAATCACACACGCAGCTGCACGGCGTGCACGTCGCGGTCGATCGCTCGATACGCGTGACCGCCCTCGAGCACGCGTTTCACTGGATGCTGAGCATGGCGGAGTTCGAGTTGAGCTTCAAGTCGCTGAGAGACGCGGTCGGCGGCGCCTCCGACGTGGGTTTCGACGATTGGGAAGTGCACACGTGATCGTGATCGCGTTCGCGCGCGCGAGGCGAGGCGAGGCGAGGCTCGTTTAGATACTGCAGCTCAAACCTAGCGACGACAACATACAATAGTATTACACGCAGTAGCCGACGACGACGACACGACGCGCGACTATCGCGCGCGCGCTCTACGGCGAGTACCCCACCCCCGCGCTCATCAGGGGAAGTACTCCCTCGCGCGAAAACGCACCGCGCCGAGGTCGAACGCGAGCGCCCGCGCCGCCGCCGTCTCCACCCCCGGCTCGTTCACGACCGTGCACTCCACCTCGACGCCCCTCTCCGCGAGCGTCGCGATGAACGCGCACACGACGCCGTGCCCGTCCTCCCGTATCATATTCGCACTACTAGTATAAACGCCTCCGATTCCACCGTTACTAAGAGGATTAGGGGGACTATGTCGATGCCGACGCATGACCGCGGCGTACGCCGACGGGTCCTGCGCGACGAGGTCGACGGTGGCGGTGTTCACCCCCGCTTCCGCGAGCGCGGCGGCGACGTCGGGAGAAAAGAGACCACTCGTCATGACGCGGAACGGCACGCCGTGCCTGCGAGTGCGGACGGACGCGATTCGTCGGTCACGCACATGATAAGTTGTCAGAGCGGAGAGAAGGAACAGAACAGACGCGGACGCGCAGAACAGAAGACGCCGATGAGCTGCGAGCGCGAGCGACCGACGCGACGAACGAAGCGAAGCGAAGCGACGAACCTGCGCTCGCGAACCGTCGCGATCGTCTCCACGATCGTCTCCATTCGGAGTAAAGGCTCGCCGAGACCCGCGAACGTGACCCCGGGGTCGTTCTCGCCCATGCCGACGATGTCCAGACCGTCGTACGCGCGGTCGACGACCGCGGCGAGCTCGGTCGCGGACGGCTCCGCCGCGCCTTGGCCGCCGAGCGGGGAGAAATTCGACTCTCGCGACATTACGAACCCGGGGCCTCGAGACGCGACGACCGTCCGCGAGTTCGTCCTGTCCGTCAGCGCGAGGTACAGACCGCGGCCGACGGTGTACGCGACGCCCTTCCGCGCGGCGGCGGCGGCGGCGGCGGCCATGACGGACGGACGGAAAGCGAACGGCGTCGGAGGGTATGACGACGAGATGGCAAACTCGAGATCGCTTCATGAGTATATCGAGTACTGTCGGTAGTGGATGGATTTCAAACGCTCGCGGCGCTCGGCTGTCGACGGTCACCCTATCCCCCCTCTTCGCGGAGTTCCAACGCCGCGGCCGCGGCAACGAGCGTGTCCTCCGTGCTGCTCGGCCCCGCGCCGACGTCCCCTTTCACCGCCGCCGCCGCGGAGGCTTGAAGTTTTCTCACGCTCTCGCCCCCCGCCGCCGCCGCCGCCGCCGCCGCCGCCGCCGCCGCCGCCGCGGCTTCGTCGTCCTCGCTCGCCCCCGCCGTCGCGCTCGACGCCATCGCGCCCTCCCCCCACCTCGTTAGGGCGTTCCGTTTCCTAACCTCGTGCCCGCGGAAGCTCGCCTGGATCCGAACCGCCGCGGCGAACTCTTCCTCGTCCCTGAGCGCCTTGCTCCTGGGGGAGTCGCCCCACACTTCGTACGCCTCCCCGTCGCTATCGGAGCCGCTGGGATCGCCGAGACGCCAGCTGTTCCGTCGGCTCCGAGGCGTGCCGACGAAATCGGGGAGGTCCGGCACGTCCCCGAAGTCGTCCTCGAAGTCGTCCTCGTCGTCCTCGTCCTCGGAGTCGTACGCCGTGGGCAACGCTCGCGGGGTGTGGTCCGCGAACTGCGACTTTGGAACTCCGCCGCCGAACCCGCCGCGTGCGCCCCCGCCCGCCGTTTCCGTCGCCGCGAACGCCGCGGGCGACGTCTTGTACCCGATGAACTTCGCCGCCGCCGACGGCGCGGGCGACGGGAAATCCCCCGCCTCCGGGCCGTACTCCTCCTCGTCGTCCTCGAACGACGGCAGCCCGCTCCGTCCGCCGACCGCGCCGACAGCGCCCCGCCGCCGCGCGCCGGCTGTACCGCCGCCGGCGCCCGTCGGTCGCGCCGCCGCCGGCGTCGACGCCTCCCCGCCTCCCCCCCACCCTCCGCCGTGCTTCCCCGGGGACGGCAGCGACGACGACGCGCCCGCGGGTCCGGCTGCTCGACGCCTCGACGACGACGACGCGTCGGTTCGCGCGGCGAACGGTCGCGCGGCGACCGCGGCGGCACCCGCGCGCGAGAGCCGGTCGCCGCGCGGCTGCGGTCGCGTCAACCCGCCTCCGCGGAGTCCGCCGCCGCCGCCGCCGCCGCCTCGCGGCGCTCCGATCGCGCTCGCGCCGGTGCCGCCGACGCCGAACCCGTGCCCGCCGAACCCGCCCGAACCCGCGCCGACGGACCCGCCGCCGCTTCGCGTGAGCGACGCGAGCCCCCCCCGCGGCGGCGCGACGCCGTCGAGTCCGGATTGTAACATCTGCAGCGAATTCGGGGTGGATCGTCGGACGCCCGCGGCGACCGCGCGCGCGGCAGCCTCCTCCACCCCCGGCGTGGACTCGCCCACCTCCGTGCACGCGATCCGGTGCGAGTGAAGACGCGACCTTTCGGACGCGTCTGTGTGGTGTTGACCTGCTCGTTGCGCGCCGGCGACGCGCGACGACGACGACGACGACGACGACGACGCGACCGCGCCGGCGCCGTACCTTTTAATCGTGAGCGCCTCGCGCTTCTTCCGCTGCTCCTCGAGGTACTCGCGCATGCGCGCGGACGCGCGCTTGGCGTCGCCGCCGTTGATCTTGTCGTTCACCTCCGCGAGGTGCTTCTCGAGCTCGCGCTTCCGCGGGTCCGTAGGCGGTCGCCGCGCGCCCTTCCTCTTCCCCGCCGCGGTGGGTATCTTCGCGGTGGGTCGCGGCGCCGCGGACGACGCGGTCGTCGCGGCAGCGGCGCTGGAGTCGACCCCATCGTTTTCTCTCTCTCCGCGGGCGTCGTCGTCGCCGACGCCGCCGCCGCCGCCCGCGGCCGTCGCCGCGACCGGCGCCGCCGCCTCGGACGTCTCCTGGGGCGTCTCGCTCATCGCGCGCGCGAGGACCGCGCGTCGGGACCGCGCGAGCGGCGCGCGCGGTGACACTAGGTCAACCTTTCTCACGCGGTGTTAGTTCGGGCAAGACGATGCGATGACTCGATCTTCTGGCTCGATGCGATGACTCGATGAGCGCACGGTCGGACGACCTTCAAGCTTCAAACCGCCTGTCGGTGAGCTCATCGCTAAAACTTACTTGTATTTTCTTAAACCGTAGCCCCGCCCGCGCGTCCTACGTCGCCTCCGCGGACCGGCCCGCGTCTCCCTCGTCGCGCCTCTCCTCCGCCTCGCCCGCGCTGTCCTCGTCGCTGTCGTCGCTCACGACGCGTATCACCTTCACGCGAGACGCCGCGCCCGGTCGCTCTCTCGTCTTCTCCGCCGGTTTCGGCGCCGGCGTCGGCGTCGGCGTCGGCTTCGTCGACCAGTCGCCGTTCGACGCCGACGCCGCCGCCGAATGACGCGCCCCCGCGACGCTCGTCGGACTCGTGCTCGATCCGTTCAGCGACTTCAGCGGGCGGTTAAACCCCGGAAGCTGCACGTCCCCGACGTCCCCGCCCTTCTCTAACACTTTCTCAACCTCCCCGCGCAGCTTGACGAGGTCGATCACCGCCAGCCCGTTGGTCATCTCTGTGCGCGGCGCGGGGTGGGTTCAAACAGACCGCGGTCAGTCGTGAGACCGCTCGCTCGTCGGTCGAGCGCGGCGTCGTTGAAACCGAGCGCGGGGTGAAGAAGCGAAAGGAAAGAAAGAGAGTCCAGTCCGAGAGAGGCCGGCTTTGGTTCAGTCTCACCCGTGTCCTCCGGTATGGGGTCGTGGTCGCCGGCGTGCCACAGCGCCTCGCGTTGCGCGCAAAACACGCGCGTGCGCTCGGCGCCGTCGTAATCCTCCGCCCTGGGTCGAGCGAACGTCGGGGTGGAGTTGAAAGGCGTCAGACGGAGTTGAAAGGCATCGCGGTCGGGGATTGAAAGCGAGGGACCCTGGGCGGAGAGACACGCCGGCAAAAGTCCTTAAGGATCGGCGTTCACCACGCCGACGCGGTCGTATGGGGACCAGTGTGAGGACGCACTTGGGTATCCCTCTCGCTTTGCACCACTTCACAAAGTACGGATCGCGCTCTTCCTCGAGGTCGCGCTCGTATCGATCCCACGCGCCGACGGCGAACCGCCCGGCGCGCGGTTTCTCGCTCGCGCGCCAACCCCCGAACGCGGCCTCCGCCTTTTCGGCTTCGAGTCGCATCTTGCCCAAGAGCGTTTCCGTCGCGTCTCGCTCCGCGGCTTCGACCATTCGCTGCACGTGCGACTTGCGAGGCTCGGCGACGCGGTCGCCGCCGGCGTAGTCCGCGGCGTGCAGAAGGTTCGAATCGCTGTTCGCGCGTCGAGTCGCCGCGGGGTCGAAGGACCGTTTGCGTTCCTTCGTCGGGGCGCCCGAGCCCAGCACGGGAAGTCGCGTCTCCGAGGCGCTCGCTGACTTTTTATCGCCGCCGAGGACGCCGCCGAGGAAGCCCTTCTTCAATCGGCCGCCGCCGCCGGCGGCGTCCGGGAGCGGCGGCTTCTCCGCGAGCTTGAGCGAGACGCCTTTGAAGCCTTTCCGTTCGAGCTGCGGATCGATCGGGCCGCCGACGTCCACCTTTGAAGGGCTGTTCGCCGCCGCCGCGGGTTCGGCGGGTTCGGCGGAGATTTCCCCCTCCGTCGCCGGTTCCGTCGCCGGTTCCGTCGCCGGTTCCGTCGCCGTCGTCGCGTCCGAGGCGGGGGTGGTCCCGTCGTCGTCCGCGTTCGCGGCGGCCGCGCTCGCGCCCTCGGCTTCTTTCGCGTCGGTCGACGTTTCGCCTTCCCGCGCCGTTTCGCCTTCCCGCGCCGCCCCCGCGGCCGCCGCCGGTTCCGGTTCGGGTTTTTTCTCCTCCTCCAACGTCGCCGCCGCCATCTTCTTCGCCGCCTCCTCCGCCGCGGCGTTCTCCTCCTCGCCTTTCTTCTTCTTCGCCTCCTTCTCCTTCGCCGCGGTGTTATTAGCGGCGTTCTCCTCTTCGCGCGCGAGCCGCTTCGCGAGCTCGAGCGCCATCTCCGGCCCGTACTTCGGCAGCGACCCGTCGACGCCCGACCGTATGATCTCAGCGTCCACGTCCATCCCAATGTTTCGCCGGTGCGCTTCCTCTTCCAGGAGCTGGTTATGGAAAATCTGCCGCTGCTGAAGAAGCCGCAAGTGCATCTCCTTCTCCTTGCGCTCGATGTCCGCCTTCTTTCGCGCCTCCTCCGCGAGCGCGCGCTCGTGTTCTTTACGGCTCATCCGCGCCTTCGCCTTGGTCTGTTCGTCCAAAATTTTCGGCGGCGGCGGCAACCCCAAGCGCTTCCGCCGCATTCGCTCTTCCTCCTCCTTGCTCTTCCGGCTCCTCGAGCCCGCGCTGCTCCAGATCGTCTTCCCGGGAGACCCGCCGCCCTGTTTATTACCACTCGCGTTATTACCACTCCCGGTCGAGGACGCGCCGCTGAAAACGCCGCCGCCGTCGACGCGTCGCGCCGGGCGCTGCAGCGGGTGTGACGACTTTTTCCTCGACGGGCTCGCGCCGTCGTCGTCGCTCGCGCCGCTGTAGTACTCCATCATGTCGTCCTCGTCCTCGTCCTCGTCCCCGAAATCGTGTGTGTCCCTCTCCGCCGCGGCGTTGATGTCCACGAACCGCCTTCCGTCCCGCCCTCTCCTCGGCGCTCTCGGCGACCCCGCGCCGCCCGCGGCGACGTCCTCGCCCCGCCGCGTCGACGCCTCCATCTCGTCCTGCCGCGCGCACCGCAGCTTGTGCTTCACGAAGTTCGCGGCGTCCAAGTACCGCTTCCCGCAACTCCGGCACGTGAAGTACTCCTCGCCGTCGCCGACGGCTTTCCCGTGGACGTTCGCCCTGTGCCGCGCGAGCGCCGCCGCCGTGGCGAACCGCTTCGAACACGCGGCGCAGACGAACGGCATTCCAGCCTCGTGCGTCGCGACGTGCCGCGCGAGCGCGGGCGCGGACGCGAACACGCGGCCGCAGGTCTCGCACTCGTGACCGCCGCTGCGCTTGAGCCCGTCCCGCGGTCGACGACGCTCCACCATCTGCGGCGGTCGCGGCTGCGGCGGTTGCGGTCCGATCGATGCGGCTCGTGGTCCACCTCCGCCCGGCGGTCGCCCCGGGAGCCGCCGCCGCGCGGCGAAGCCGCCGGCGACGACGCCGCCGCGCGCGGCGGCCGCGGCGCCGCCGCCGTCGCCCCCGCGCGCGGGCTCGATCTCGCCGCCGCTGAGCGACCCGCGCGAGGACCCGCGCGAGCCCTGCGAACCCTGCCGCGAGCCCGCGCGCGACAGCGACGAGGCGTTCGAGGTTCGGCCGCTGCCGCCCCCGACGCCGCCGCCGACGCCGCCGTCGAGCGAGGACGACGATATCGAGTGCGTCGCGCCCGCCATGGCGTGGGTCATGAACCGTCGACGCGCGGGGTCCACGGTCGGGCGGCCTTGCCCGGGGTACTGCGGCGGCGGCGCGTTCGAGCCGCCCGTCTGCATCGTCGTGGAGAGCCTCGTTTCCTTCGTTGTTTTTTATCGATTCGAGCGCGACCGTTCGCGCCGCTCGCGACGCCGACGCCGACGCGCGCGGCGTTCTCCTCACGCCGCGCGCCTCCGCCGCCACGCCGCGCGTCTTCCTCGCTTCGCCTCGAGGTTCGCGCGCCGCCTTTCCGTGCCTCCTCGACGCCCCGAGAAGTGGCGTTGACTCCTCGAGTGCACGTGCTCGCACTGCCGCTGCCGCTGCCGGCCGGCCGACCGCGACGATCGCGACGAGCGCGAGCGTCGACTGCTGCGTGTTTGAAGCTGCTTCACGCGGCGCCGCATCATCACTCGACGACGCGCCTCGGTCCGCGCACACCGTCCTCTCCGTCCCAGAAACGATGAGCGCGTTCACCGCCTCCGCCGTCGCGCCCGCGCCCGCGCGCGCTCACGCGGCGCTCTCCTCCCGCCGCGCGTCCGTCGCGTCGCGCGTCGCGACGATGCCGCCTCGCTCCTCCGCTCGCGCCGGCCGACGCGCCAACGCGCGCGTCGTCGCCAAGGCTGGACCCTCCGGCGAGGTCAAGAAGGCGCGTCCGACGCATCCCTCGCGCGCGCGCTCCGTCTGATCGATCGATCGTGATCGCGATCGATCGCGCGGCGTCGTCGCGTCGCTCGACGTCGATCCTCGAACAGCGCTGACGGATAGAAAAAAGCGATCGTTCGATTTATCGCGCCCAAACCCTTTCCCTCGACGTCGGAACCCTCGTCGTCGCCGACTCGCCCCCGTCCCCAACCCGCGCGTCTCAACGACGCGACGAAACCCTAACGCTAACCCTACAGTTATAAAAACCTAACCCTACGACGAACGCATCACAGGTCGTCCTCGCGTACAGCGGCGGTCTGGACACATCCATCATCCTGAAGTGGCTCCAGGACACGTACGGCTGCGAGGTCGTGACGTTCACCGCGGACCTCGGCCAGGGCGAGGTGCGCGCCACGCGACGCCCCGTCCTTCCACGTCCACACGTTCTGCCACGTATACGCCACGTCATCACACGTTGGTTGACTCACCAATCGCAATCCTCCACGTCGTCGTCATCTTCACACGTGTCACCCCACGAACCAATAGGAGCTCGAGCCCGCGCGCGCCAAGGCGGAGCAGATGGGCGTCAAGGAGATTTACATCGACGACCTCCGCGAAGAGTTCGTGCGCGATTACGTCTTCCCGATGTTTCGCGCGAACGCGGTGTACGAGGGCGAGTATCTTCTCGGAACGTCCATCGCGCGCCCGCTCATCGCGAAGCGGCAGATCGAGATCGCGCGCGAGGTTGGCGCGGACGCGGTGTGCCACGGCGCCACGGGCAAGGGCAACGATCAGGCGCGTTCTGTCATCTCACGCCGGTCCCCGTGCGGCCGCGTCGGCGCGGTGAACGCCGATCCTTAAGGACTTTCTCTCCCGGCGCGCGTTTCTCTCCGCGCATCCCTCGCTCGCAACGCTCGACCTCGACGCCTTTCATCCACTCCATCTGACGCCTTTGAACGAACGCTTCTTCGATCAGGTGCGATTCGAGCTGGGCTACTACGGGCTCAAACCCGACGTGAAAGTGATCGCGCCGTGGCGCGAGTGGGACCTCAACTCGCGCACGAAGCTCATCGCGTACGCGGAAGAGGCTGGGATCCCGGTCGCGCAGAGCAAGCGTCAAGAGGCGCCGTACTCCATGGACGCAAACTTGCTGCACATCTCCTACGAAGGCAACGCGCTCGAGGATCCCATGGTGGGCTACACCGAGGATATCTTCACGCGTTCCGTCGCGCCCGAGGACGCGCCGGACGCGCCGACGTTCCTGGACATCGACTTCGAGGGCGGCGACCCGGTCGCGATCAACGGCGAGAGGATGTCCCCCGCGACGATGCTCACGGCGCTGAACAAGTACGGCGGCGACAACGGCATCGGCCGGCTCGACATCGTGGAGTCGCGGTTCGTTGGGATGAAATCCAGAGGGGTGTACGAGACCCCGGGCGGGACGATTCTCCTCCGCGCGCGCCGCGGCGTCGAGTCCGTGTGCCTCGACCGCGGAGAGATGCACCTGAAGGACGAGCTCATGCCGCGGTACGCGGAGCTCATCTACAACGGGTTCTGGTTCTCCCCGGAGCGGGAGATGCTTCAGGCGGCGATCGACACGTGCGCTAAGAACGTCAACGGGACGGTTCGCGTCAAGCTCTTCAAGGGCAACGTCGACGTCGTCGGCCGCGAGAGCGCGCAGACGTTGTACAACGCGAAGCTGTCGACGTTCGAGGAGGACGACGGCGCGTACGACCAGAAGGACGCCGCCGGGTTTATTAAGCTTCAGGCGCTTCGTTTGCGGACGCTCGGGACCCAGCGCGGGCCGCCGGCGTGAGAGACGACAGCGCGCGCGCGAGAGAGAGAGAGAGAGAGAGAGAGAGAGAGGGTGATGCGTGACGCGTCGGAGTTGGGGGTGGTATCGCGTCTTGGTGATTGGTATGAGAATGGAGATCGCATCGCGTTCGTTCGTTCGTTCGTCGTCGTTGAATCGTTCGTCGTCTCTTCGCGTCTTCGCGTCGCGCTCGATCCGTGGTTGGCAGTGCCAAAAGAGGTCAAAAGCCGCGCCGCGCGCCGCGGTCGACGACGCGACGTTCAAAAACGTAAGGTCTCAGCACTGACGTCGGTCGTCACCGCGCGTCGCGCGCTCGGGGGCGCGCGCACGCCTGAGGCCCCCTAGCTAGATGCCGCGCCGCGACAACGGCTTCCGCAGAGACGGCGCGCTGAGCCTCAACGCGCACCAGCTCGGCGGCGCGTCGCTGTACCTCGGCCTCGTGCTCGGGTTCTATCTCCTCCAGGCGCCAGCCATCGAGGACGCGACCGCGCGGCTCGCGTGCGAGATCGCGTTCGCGTGCGTCGCCGCCGTCGTCTGCGGCGCCTTCTTCCGCGCGGCGGCGATCGACCCCGCGGACGATACGCACGCTCTGGCGACGAAACCGGGGGACGTGATGCGTTGCGACTTGTGCGCGCACGCCGTGTCGCGAGGATCGAAGCACTGTCGATCGTGCGACAAGTGCGTCGCGCACTTTGACCACCACTGCCGATGGCTCAACAACTGCGTGGGGAGCAAGAACTACGCGCCGTTCTTCCTTCTCCTGTGCTCGACGTTGACGCTCACCGTCGCGCAGTTGTGCGCGGGGGCGTACCTGACGCACTGGGCCGTCACGGAGAAGGACGAGGCCGACGCGTTGCTGCGATCGAGTCGCTACCCGACGAAGATTAATCGAAATCATTTTCTCGCCGCCCTGGGGGTGTACCTCGCCGCGGGCGCGCTGCTGTGCTACGTCGTCGCCGACCTCTTCTTCTTCCACCTGCTGCTGATGAAGCGAGGGATCACGACGTACGATTACGTGCTGGGCGCGAGGGCGGCGGAGGAGGTGGAGGGCGGCGCGGGGGGGTCGGCGGCGAAGCCGCTGTCGTGTCTCTGTCTCCGTTGCGGCGGCGGCGGCGATAGAAAGCGCGTCGCGCCGGAGGATGAGGACGACGACGACGACGACGATTTAGACGGGACCGGGGGTCGAAGGAGGAGGAGGAGGAAGAAGAAGAGGGTGGAGATCTCGTGCTGGAAGCTGCTGTTCTCGAAGAACGCGGGCGGGAGGAGGGAGATTGGCGGCCGTGGCGGCGGCGGCGGCGGCGGAGGCGGAGGGTTCGGCGATATCGAAACCGCCGTCGTCGAGAGCGTGTCGTCTTCCGACGACGGGAGCGAGACGTATCGCGTCGGGCAGCCGCGGGTGAAGACGTGAGCGCGTCGTCGTCGTCGTCGTCGTCGTCGTCGTCGCGAGCGAGGGATAGAGCGCCCGCGTAGAGGTACGGTAGGCCAGCGCGAAGGTACATATTTATTGGGAGGTCGACAACAGAAAAGCTGGAGTCTGTTCGCGCGAAACCGAGCAGGCAGCACTCTCTTCGCGCGAAAACGCCGTGACCTTTACGACGCCGCGCGGTCGCATTCGACGCCGCGCGCGCCGCGCCGCGCGCGCTCCCGGAACTTTCCTCGAACGCGCGGGGACGTCCCCCCGCGCGCCGCGCGCGTCCGTCATCGACCGCGCGATTCGAAGCCGCGGCGAGGGTTCGGAGCGCGTCGATCGGTACTTTTACCTAATCTCTTAATCGTCCTAACGTCGCGTCGCCCCGCGGCGGAGGCGGAGATCGACACCGCGGCGGCGTCCGCGTCCCACGATGCGACGCAGCGCGTCCGGCGCGGGCGCGGGCGCGAGCGACGTCGACGACGCGTCCGCGGTCACGGTGACGCCCGCGCCGGACGCGCCCGGGGTCGAGGCGCAGGTGCGCGTGACGTGCCCCGATAAGACGGGCCTCGCCGCGGACATCGCGCGAACGCTCTTCGACTTTGGCCTGGTCACCGTGAAGGGCGACTTCGCGACGGACGGGAAGTGGGCGTTCGTGCTCGTGACCGTGAAGAAGCTGTCGGGGACGCACGCGCCGGGCGGCGGCGGCGGCGGAGGAGGAGGAGGCGGAGGAGAAGGAGGCGGAGGAGGAGGAGGTGGAGGAGGAGGAGAGGGAGGCGCGCACTACCATCATCATCATCATCATCACGGCGGCGGCGGCGGCGACAGCGTCAACTGGGACCTCCTCCGCCTGCGTCTCGAGAACCACTGGCCGACGATCAAAGCGAGCATCAGCACGCTGTCGTCGATGAACCTCGCCGCGCAGGACGATCCGGGCGGCGGCTCCTCCCCGGGTTTTCCTTCGTCCCGCTCGCCTTCGTCGCACGGCCTCGGCGACCCCTCAAGCGCGGGGGTCATCGAACCCAAGCCCGGGACGCTCTACATCCTCACCGTCGAAGTCGAAGACCGCGTCGGGCTGCTCCACGACGTCACCCAAGAGCTGTGGGCGTGCGAGCTCACCGTGCACCGCGCGCACATCTCGACGTCGCCCGCGGATCTCGCCGTGGATATGTTTTACATCACGGACGAACGGAACGAGTTACCGAACGAGCAACGCGTGGCGGAGATCAGCGCGAACGTTCGCGCGGTGCTGCGAGGGAAACGGCGGTCGATGGACGCGTCCGCGGCGGCGCTCGGGAACGTGCAGATATCGCCCGCGCCGCACTTCGTGTCCAAGACGCGCGGCGGGAACCGGCTTTTGGATCACTCGGGAACGGCGTTGGAAAAAGTGGAGACGGCGTCGGCGGCGCACTACAGCGAAGCCACGGTGACGGTGGATAACCTGATGTCGAAGGCGCACACGGTGTTTCAGATGCGCACGCGCGACCGGAAAGGGCTGCTCTACGACGTGCTGCGCGCGTCGAAGGATCTGAAAGTGCACATCTCGTACGCCAAGGTTGAGATGCGCGATAAAGGGCAGTGCGAGCTCGATCTCTTCGTCGCGCGGTGTACGAACATCAACGAGCAGCGGTACTTGTGCGCGCGGTATAAAGAGAACATCGAGCGCCCCGTCAGCGTGCAGATCAAGCCGTCGGGCGTGGACGAGATCACGACGGAGCTGCGCGTCATCGCGCCGCTGGACATCGCCGGGTTTACGCGGCCGCGGGTGTTACTGGACGTGACCGAGGCGTTGCGGCAGCTGAAGGTGATGGTGTTCAAGGCGGACATCGTGACGTCGGACGCGGTGGGCGGCGGCGGCGCGGAGGAGTACATGTTTCCGGGGATGGGCGGCGCGACGCGGCAGGAGGTGCATCGGTTTTTGCTCACGGACGAGCACGGGCAACCGATCGCGAGCGTGAAGGATCGGAAGCTGATTTGTAATCGCGTGTTGGGAGTGTTGTTGCAGTGATGACTGGACGGAGGCGACGACGTCGCGTCGGGCGAGGAAGGGAGGGAGTCGCGCGCGTGCAGTGCGCGTTTTCTCGCGTTGTATTTGTACTTTCAAGACATTCTTTCAGACGTAAGTAGGTTCGTTCGTTCACGCCGCGCGACGTCGGTTTAACCACTTCCAGTCGCGGACCAACTCTTCAACGTCGACGGGGTGTTCGGTCTGGCCGACCGTGAAGGTATCGCCGTTCGGGTCGATTGTAACGGGGACGCCGGACATCCTCGACGCCATCTGACCGATCTCACGAGCAACCTTCTTCTTCATTTCCGTCGCGTCCAACTCGATGCGCACTTTTTCGTCGTCGTCTTCCTTCGCCGGTTTCGGCGACGCGCGTGCGCGGCGGTCGCGCGGGGTCACGGAGAGGGTGACCATCGGACAGGCGTCATCGAACGCGAGTTTGCACGACGGCGTGATCTTCCGAGGGCACGTGAGCTTGTGCGAGTCGTCGTCGCGTTCGCTCAACCAGTGCGCGCGCTGGCAGTCTTTCGAGCAGTACAGAGTCACCAAGCAGTGTTGGCACGCCTTCACTCCCGGGCCGCCGCACCACGCGCACGACTTGAGTTTTTTCAGATCGTCTTCGATTTGGCGCCCTGGGGGCCAGTCATGCTGCCAGTCATACCCAAGGTACTTTTGTTTATACGTATCGACCAAAAACTTTATGAGATCTTTGGCGATTCGCAAGTTCCTAGGTGCGCCGCATCGCCCGTGAAGAAAACACAGTGCGAGGTGATGGATGGGATTCACTGGGTGATGAGGCGCGTCCGTGCAATCGACGAACGCATCCAAAAATCCATCCCCCAAAAATCCGTCGTCGATGCCGTAGCCGTCGATGATCGCTCGCATCTGCGCGCGTTTCACCTTGAAGAGCCCATACAAGCATGTGTCTAATACTGCAAACCCTTTACGCGCTATATCGTATCGAAGCGATCCTAACGGATACGGATTTAACTCTTCGCAGTCGATACGTACGCGTGTCCAGTCGATACGAGTACCTGCGGTAGACTTGAGGGCTTTGCGAATTTTGTAGAGCTCGTTTCCGTCGTCTTCGCCCCTCTTGTTTCCCGCAGCCTTCTCGAGGTAGCGCTGATGCTTCAGGATGTCCCTCGCGGGACCAACACCATCCCAATATACGTCCGCGAGGTAGAGCTGAGCATCGAACCAATCGAGCTCGTCCGCGGCTTTGTGAACCCACCGGAGTCCCTCTTCGTAGTTTTTCTCCACGCCGACGCCTTCGAGGAGAAACTTGCCGCGCATGAACACCGCGAGTCCGTACGTGTACCAGTTATCCTTGGTGCTAAACTTATATTCCCCTTCCGCGATCTCCTTGAACGTCTTGAACGCCTTTCTCTGGTGCTCGAGGTCTTCTGCCGGCTGCTGGACGTTATCGCCACTCTCAGCAGACCGCAGCGAAAATACGAGCCAGCGAAAATACGCGAAGAAGGCCTCAGAAGAAAGCCACTGGGCCTGGCTCGTAAGCTCCCTCTTCGACCGCTCGCACCCGCGCGCGGCCGCGCGCTTGAGCTTCGCGACGTCGTCGTCCGTCCGCTTCATCGCCGCGTTCGCCGCCCTCGCGCGTTTATCGCCGCCGGGTGCCATGGTGGACGCGCGGGAAGAAGTGCGCCGCCGCAGAGCAACGACGCCGAAAATATCCCCGCAGATCCCGCGTCAGGTCAGATCTGTTCGGCTTTTCCCGCGGGCAGGGCGCCTCCGCCTCGCAAACACACCCCCCGCGCGCGCCGCCCCGCCTCCACGCCCGGCGGCGATGGACGACCCCAACGCGCGATGGCCCGCGCCCGCGCCGAACGCGCCGCTCGAGCCCCTCCTCAAGCTCGTGAACAAGCTCCAGGCGCGCGACGCGACGCGATCGCCTCGCCCGTCGCGGCGTCGCCCGCCTCCGCCCCGCGTCGCGCCTCCTCCTCTTCCCGCGCGCGACGCACGAAACGAAAGCGAAGCGAACGCCGCCGCCGCCGCCGCCGCCGCTCACCCTCCCCCTCCCCCGCCCTCCGCGACCGAACCAGGAAGCGTGCGCGCTCGCGGGGGATAACATCGACGCCGCGCACCGCGCGAACCTCCCGTCCGTGTGGGAGACGCTCCCGCAGATCGTCGTCGTCGGCGGACAGAGCAGCGGGAAGAGCTCGGGCGCGTTCTGTCATCACACTGCACTGGTCCCCATACGACCGCGTTCGCGTGGTGAACGCCGATCCTTAAGGACTTTCGCCGTCGATTCTCTCCGCCCAGGGTCCCTCGCTTTCGATCCCCGACCGCGACGCCTTTCGACTCCGTCTGATGACGACGCCTCACGATGCCACCCCGACGACCCGCAGTGCTCGAGGCCATCGTCGGGAGAGACTTTCTTCCGCGCGGCGCGGGGATATGCACGCGGCGGCCGCTCGTGTTGCAGCTCCTGTGCGTGGACGAGGAGCGCGACACCGCGAAGTTTCTTCACAAGCCGGGGGAGGTGCGCGCGATAGCGATAGCGCGCGGCCGGCGTTCGTCGGCGCGCGCGCGCGCGACGAAGAACGTTTGAAAAGAAACGCCGCGCCGCAGCCGTCGCCGCCGCCGCCGCCGCGCGCTGACCTCTTTCGTCTCCGTCCCCTCCCCTACCCCGGCGCGCCTTCGCAGGCCTTCACGGACTTCGCGAAAGTCCGCGAGGAGATCGAAGCGGAGACGAACCGCGCGCTCGGCGTCGACAGCAAGATCGTCTCCAGCGAACCCATCATGCTCAGCGTTCGAAGCCGAAACGTCCCCAACCTCACCCTCGTGGACATGCCCGGGCTCACGAAAGTCGCGACGAAGGATCAGGTGCGTCCCATACACTGGTTCCCATACGACCACGTCCGCGTGGTGAACGCCGATCCTTAAGGACTTTTCCCGGCGTGTCTCTCCGCCCACCCCTCGGTTTCAATCCCGACACACCTCGATGCCTTTCAACTTCAACTGACGCCTTTAAACTCCGCCCCGACGTCGCTTTGTATGGAACGACCCTCAGCCGCCTTCGATCGTGCGAGAGATCGAGGACATGGCGCGGGCGTTCATCGCGCCCGCGAACGTCGTCATCGTCGCGGTGTCGCCCGCGAACGCGGACATCGCGACGTCGGACGGCGTGCGCATCGCGCGAGAGGTCGATCCAAACTTGGAGCGCACCGTGGGCGTGCTCACGAAGCTCGACCTCATGGACCGCGGCACGGACGCGCGCGACGTCCTCGAAGGTGTACACTGGTTCCCATACGACCGCGTTCGCGTGGTGCACGCCGTTTCTTAAGGACTTTACCCAGCGCATCTCTCCGCCCAGGGTCCCTCGCTTTCAATCCCCGCCCTCGACGCCTTTCAACTCCGACTGACGCCTTTCAACTCCACCCCGACGTCCTCGAAGGCCGGTCGTTGATCGTCGAACACGGCTGGTGCGCCGTCGTGAATCGCTCGCAAAACGACATCAACACCGCCGTGGACATGCGCACCGCGCGCGCGAACGAGCGCGCGTTCTTCGCGTCCAAGCCGGAGTACTCGCACGGCGTCAACGTCGGCACGGACACGCTCACGGTGATGCTGACGCGCGTGCTTGGCGACAGCATCCGACGCCAGATGCCGAAGATTGAGGAGATGATCGATCAAAACGCGGCGGCTTTGGAGAACGAGGCGTGTTCTGGTTACACTGGTCCCCATACGACCGCGATCGCGCGGTGAACGCCGATCTTTAAGGACTTTTGCCGTCGTCTCTCTCCTCACACCCCTCGGTTTCAATCCCGACACACCTCGACTCCTTTCAACTCCACCTGACGCCTTTGAACTCCACCCGACGTTCGCTCGTACGGAACGACCCTCGTCAGTTGGACGCGCTCGGTCGAGCGATGCCGGGCGATCGCGGCGCGCTGATGCACGAGGTCTTGCTCAGCTGCGGCGAGTTCGAGAAGGACTTCGCAGCCGCGCTCGACAGCGGCAAGGGCGGCGGGGAGACGATACGGGTCATCTTCGAAGAGAAGCTCGTGGCGGCGTTGCGAGCGTTGAACATGCGGGAGTTTTACAGCGCGAAAAACGTGAAAGCCGTCATCGACGCCGCGGACGGGTACGTCATCACGCGCGTCGTCGTCGTCGTCCGCGACGCCGTTCGCGCGTGCTGTGCTAAATCCTAACCCTAATGCACTTACCCTAAACCATCACCACAAAACCACCCCCCGCCGCAGGTACCAACCCCACCTCGTCGCGCCGGAGATGGGTATCCGCCGCCTCATCGAGCTCGGCTTGGACCGGCTCCACGAGCCGACGACCGCGTGCGTACGGTCGGTCGACCGCGTATTGCAGTCCATGGTCGAGCGCGCCGTGGAGAGGCGCGTTGAGGGCGTCGCCGGGACGTCGTCCCTCCTCGCGAAGCTCGGGTTGACGAAGAAGAAGAAGCCGGCGGCGGACGGGATAAACGGCGGCGGCGGCGGCGGCGGCGGCGACGGCTCGAACGGAAACGGCTCCGAGAACACCGGCGAGGCGCTTCGACGGTTCCCGTCGCTTCGCCGCGCGGTCGTCGCCGCCGCGCACGACGCGCTCGAGCGCCACAAGCGCGAGGCAGAGGCGATGGTCACCGCGATGGTGGACATGGAGGCGTCGTACTTCGACGCGGATTTTTTCCGGCGGTTTTCGAGCGACCCGGAGGCGGCGCTGGAAGCCGCGGGCGGCGGCGGCGGCGAGGCGAAGCTCGACGACGGCGAGTCGACCGACCGCGGCCCCGAGAGCCACCTGCGCCTCATCAGCGCGAGCGTGTACGCGTACGTGGACGCGGTCCGCGCGCGTATGGCGAAGACCGTCCCGAAAGCGGTCGTGCACTGCCAAGTGTTGCGGGCGCGTCGCGGGCTGTTGTCGAGGTTTTACGCGTCGCTGGGCGCCAAGGCGCGTTCGTAGTCTGTTTACCACACTGGTCCCCATACGACCGCATCAGCGTGGTGCACGCCGTTCCTTGAGGACTTTTCTTCCCGGCGTTCGTCTCTCTGCGCCCATCCCTCGCTGGTTTCAATCCCGACACGCCGCGACGCCTTTCAACTCCCTCTGACGCCTTTCGACTCCCTCTGACGCCTTTCAACTAAAGTCCGAGATAGAGTTGCTCGCGCTCATGAACGAAGACCCGGCGGTGTCGAAGCGCCGCGTCGCGTGTCGCGAGCGCGTCGCGCTGTTACGTCGCGCGAGGGACGAGATCTCCGCCGTCGTCGGGTGACGCCACGGATCGCGCGCGACGACGACAGGAAGGCTGAATGGCGCGAAGAGCGAAGGAGCGACGGGAAGGAGAGAGAGACGACGACCGGAATCAGGGCCGTTCTATACAAGCGAATGTCGGGGTGGAGTTGAAAGGCGTCAGTTGGAGTTGAAAGGCGCCGAGGACGGGGATTGAAAGCGGGGGGTGGGCGCAGAGATGCGCCGGGAAAAGTCCTTAAGAACCGGCGTCCACCTCGCGAACGGGGTCGTATGGGGACCAGTGTATAGAACGCACCTCAAAACGACGAGCGAAACGAGACGAAACGAAACGAAACGAGACGAATGCGAATAACTTGGTAAAAAATCGACGTCGCGAGCTACGCGACGCCGTCCTATCATATGCGCGCGCCACCCCCCTCTCACATCATCAGTGGTAGCATATCGAGTATATCGGCCGTCGTCCTTCCTCCGCTTGGAACGTATCCATGATCTCGTCGCACTCGCACTCCCAGTCTTCGCTCTCGTCGATGAGCGCGCACAGCTTCAACGCGCGCGGCCCCGCCTTGAGCGCCTCCTCGTGCGAGTCCACGACGTCCAAGTTGATCACGAGGAGCGGCTCACCGCCGCCGCCGCCCCGCCCCCGAACGTCCTCCACGACGTTATCGAACACGCGCTCTTCGAAGCAGATCACGACGTCCACCTCTATCGGCTCGTCCTGCCACCGCTGCGGCCGCGGCTTGATCTTCATGTTTCGCTCGAGCATATCCTTGAGCCCGTTCCTGGCGTACAGCGCCGCGTCTGTTGAGCGCGGGCGGCGTTCGGGGGATCGCGCGTCAGACGGTGGAGTCGAAAGGCGTCGCGGTGGGGCGTTGAGAGCGAGGGGCGAAAGAACGTCCTCAAGGAACGGCGTGCACCCCGCGAACGCGGTCGTGTGGGGACCGGTGTGAGACGATGCGATGGGACGCGCCTTGCTCCATGAGCGCGTCGTAGATCTGCTGGTACGACTCCACGCCGAAGCTGAAAACGTTCGGGTTGTCGCGCGACGCCCCCGGGAGCTTGACGTGGTTCCCCGCGCCGTAGGACTTGACGTCGAGGCCGCGCTCGAGGAGGACGCGGTGCGCCTCCATCGATCGGTTCATGTTCGCCGCGCACACCATCGCGAATCGCTTCGGCTCCGCCATGAATGATGTATTTTATTTTATCGCGGCGCGTCTTCCGTCCGCGCGGCCGGCCGGCGCGATCCTCCTCCTCCTCCTCGTCCTCCTCGTCGTCGCGCGGGCGGGACGGGACGGGAGCGGCGACGGACGCGCGCGTCCTCGGGGCGGGGCGACTCCTGGACGCGGACGACGCGGCGGCGTCGATCGGAGTGCGGCGTGCGGAGGAGGAGTGCCGACGCTTCGAGGCAGTGCGATGGCTGAGTCACCGACCGCGGTCGGGTTCAAAACCGAAGTTAGAAGTAGGGTTGACGCGACCGCGCGCACAGCCTCATCAGAGATCTCCGCGCGCGAGCGAGCGAAGAGAAGGCGTCCGGATCCGCTTGTGTCGCGATGGACGTCCTGTTCGCCTTCACGGGCGACAAGTTCGCGGTCGTCGTCTCGGACACCACGAGCGTGCAGCAGATCATCGTTCAGAAGGACGACGAGGAGAAGACGCTCGATCTCGACTCGCACAAGCTGCTCGCCATGTCCGGCCCGAAGGGCGACTGCGTTCACTTCGGGGAATACGTCCAGGCGAACATGAAGCTGTACGAGCTGAAGAACGGGCACAAGCTGTCGACGCACGCGGCGATGTCGTTCATCCGCGGCGAGCTCGCGGCCGCGCTGAGGAAAGGGCCGTATCAAGTGAACATGTTGCTCGCCGGGTGCGCGTCGATCCGTCGACTTCGACTTCGTTCGTTTCCTCGCGTTCGCATCGTTCGTTCCTCGTCTCTCGCTCGATCGCTTCCGATCCCTTCCGTCGTCGTTCGCGCGCGCGCGTCGCGTCGAGCGTCGCCGCGGGCCTCCGTCGTCCTTCTCCGGCGAGCGTCGATCGCGCCGCGCCGGGGACCACCCCGAGATCCCATCCCGCCGCCGACGATGACAAATCTAATCTCTCTCCTCCCTCGATCCCTCCTCCTCCTCCGATAGGTACGACGAACACGAGGACGACGCGTCGCTGTACTTCATCGACTACCTCGCGTCCACGCAAAAGGTAAACAGCGGCGGGCACGGGTACGGCGGCATGTTCTGCCTCTCGCTGTTCGACAAGCACTGGAAACCGAAGATGACGCGAGCGGAGGCGGATGTCCTCGTGGACACGTGCATCGCCGAGGTGAGGGAGCGACTGGTCACGGCGCCGGCGAAGTATCACGTGAAGATCGTGGATAAGACCGGGACGTCGTGCACGCTGTACGACTGCGTGGAGAAGGCTGCGGAGAAGGCGAGGATGGCGGCGTGATCGGATCGGGGGTGTCGTGTCTTAGCGGGCGGGGACGTCAGGGGGGCGCTCGTGTATTCGAAAGGTCCTCTCTCGTTTCTTCTCCGGTTTCGCGGTTTCGTTCGTCGCGCGAATTGCATCACGCGCGCGCCTTCTTCGCGCGCTTCTTCGTCGTCGTCGTCGCCGCCGCCGATCGCTTCAACTTCGGCTTCGGCTTTGGCTTTGGCTTCGGCTTTGGCTTCGGCTTCGCGACGGCGCGCGGCGGCGGCGACGGCCACGCGGGTCGTTTCACCGGCGACCCGGACGGGGACTCGCTCGCCGCCGCCGCGTCGTCGTCGCCGCCGCCGCCGCCGCTCGCGCCCGCGCGCGGCGTCCCTCTCCCCGGCCGAAGCTTCCCTTGCGCTCGCGTCCACCGAATAAAGGCATCGTCGCTGACCATTTTGCGGTCCATCATCTTCTGGAACTCCGCGTCGGTCGCGTACGCGGCCGAAGGCCAGTTGAGGTCGGCGTCTGAACATCCGCCGAGCCCTCGAAAACGCAGCGCGGCTTTGTCGTACGCGCGCGCGGCGGATTCTGGATCCTTAAAAGACCCCAAATGGATCTGTCTCTTTCCGTGCCACACGTGCGCTTCCCATCGCCCGGTGCGCTTGTAGCACGACACGCCGCGGTAGCGCGTCGTCGGCTTTTCCGTCGCCGCCGCCGCCGCCGCCGCGGTCGCGGTCGCCGCCGCGGTCGCCTTCGTCGGCGCTTTCTTC